TATTAATATTCACAACTTCATTTCACAAAGCCTGATGTTTAGATATGTTTTTCTTTTTTCCAAGAGAACTAAGTAATACAATACTTTGAAACTGATTGTGGATTTCTCCTGGACCATAAAGAATATATTCACAAAATTTCAAGGCAGAATGTTGATAGGTTGTCTTGGAAAAAAAAAGAGAGTTTGGAAGGAGATTCCGAACTTGCGATGTGTAGTTGGTCGTATTTCTGCCAACGGAGCTATGTGCATTAAGGATGAGCCCTGAGACCCATAAGAATGTATGCATAACAGGGATCACGTCAAAATGCACATAGTTCCGTTTGGCAGAAATACGTCCGGTTATGCGTATCTGGTTTAATCCGTGCATTAGTGAGGTGAAATTCTGCAGCGCTGAGATACAGTTACGTATACTTTCGTCTGAAAAATGACGAACCCTCAAAAGGAATGATTGATAAACTTGTCCGAAGTATGACTAACAACTTAAAGGTCTGGATAGGTACACGATCAAATTCCGAATCAATTCTGATCAAAGTAGACCAGTTGATAACTGCTGCAGTCCTCTTCGATCAAAATTGGACAGGCCGTCAACTTTTGATCAGAATGGAGTGCCACCATCCGTCAATTCCTGCCGCACGAAACATTTCTGCCAAGTTTCCATTTTAAAATTAAGCAAAGTAATGATTTTTAGACTGACGACTGCCGACACTTTAACGGTAATTGTTTGGGGAATTTGATCGTGTATCGAGACCTTAAGAGCCGGTCTTTGTTTCTTGTTAAGGGTGTGCGGAAATGACACTACGGTCGAAAAAGACAGTGACCTGCGTCTTGTTGCTCTCTTTATTTCTGGTGTACGCAGCGACGGTGTTCGCTAAGGCTGCCTTGGCTGTTGCGCAAAAATCTTACAATTTCAGGACGTTCGCTTCGTATTTGGTTATTCTCATGGCCTTGATTCCTGCGCTCATCAGCCCGCTGGCCACTTGGGCCGAGAAAGACGGTGTCAAAGACTACATTAACTCGTGGTCCCTGCTTCAGGTGAGGATACAACTTCAATTGGACGTATTTCTATCAAACGGAACTATGTGCATTAAGTCATGAGCCCCGGGGCTCCTAAGCATACACGCATAACAGGGCTCACGTCATAATGCACATAGTTCCGTTTGACAGAAATACGTCCAATTTAAAGATCTGCATTCTGCCGTGCTGAGGAAAAGCGCCGTATGAACCTTCAGGCGTTGCCAAATTTCTTTTGGCAAATCACGAATTTTCGGGAAAATTTATGAATATTTTTCCTCCAATTTTTCTGATAAATTTGCTCGCAATTTCACCTAAAGTTCCTGAAAATGTCAAGGAAAAATATTCATAACTTTCCTCGACAATTAACATTTTATCAAAAGAAATTTGGCAACTCTCGATTGTTCATACGGCGTTGTTCCTTAGCACCATTTGTAGCTCAGCGATGGTGGAAGATTTTACCATCGGTGCTCCAGCATTCAACTGTTGACCTATCCGATATGTGGATGTTTGACAAAGTGTTGAGCATTTCGCTCACCAGAAGAGCCGAAATTCGGTAACCTCGTTTGTCACCTGAATCCAAGATCTATCCATATAGGTCAGTTATTGCCAGGCCATTGCACGGATTTCCCCGCCTGGGGTCGCCCCTGTCCACTAGATCGTGACGTCAGAATTACCGCCGCGAAAACCGGAAATGTCGGAAACAATGCTTTTCTCTTGGGAGAATTCCTAATTTTTATTCATAAATCATTTAAAGTTCTTACTTTTAAATCCCTGGAAACTTTTCTAAGTGTCGAAAGGAACGTTTAGACATCAGCATTCAGCGTTTCGATTTTGCCGAATTAGTGATTTTTCATTTTTACAGTTGACTCTCCATCACCCATTTTTACACGCCGAATCACGTGGTATACCACAAAATGGCTCGAAGAACGCTGACTTTCAACATCATTTAAAAATATAAAAACGTAAATTCGGCCTAATTAAAACCCTGAAAGCTAATGTCTGAACGTTTTGTTGACTCTCAAAAAGCTTCAAACAGTTTAAAAGTAAGAAATTTAAATGATTCATCGATGAAAACTAGCCTTCTCCACATAGGAAAAGCATTGATTCCCAGCTTTCTGACTTTCGCGCCAGCGATACGGATGTCATACGCGGAAGATTTTCATTTTGGTTCTGGGAATGACTGACCTATATGAATAGATCTTGCCTGGATCGTAATTAAAAACGCTTTTTAAATCATGAAATTTGACACGGAACCACCTTAATGTTTACAAAATATACATTTTATTTTCCTTTATTACATCCCCCCCCCCACATTAATTCCATGAGCATAATCCAGCAGAGTGTGTAAACACTTCAAAATCATGAGTTCAAAACGCTGACTCCGCGAGTTTAAATATCAGAGCTGAACACAGATCAGAGCAGCGCAGCGTGCTGCCACGCCTACAAACCTAAGGGGATACTTCACGCATTGCGCAACGCTTGAAGTATCACCTTAGGTTTGTAGGCGCCAGCGCTGACCGGTCGCCCGCTGCGCCGCGCCGCAGCGTGTCACGGCGCCTCAAGCAACAATTTCACAACAGAGGAGTTGCACAGTATCATACGAAATTGAAGGCGCTCCAACATATTAAGAATGACCGGAATCCTTTAAGAGGACGGAGCTTTCCTCGCAAAATAAATCGAGATACTACGGCACAAAAAGAGAGCGGTACTCCAAAAACGCACCAAGTCCTAACATCCATTTTTAATAACGTTTAGCATAATTTTTGAATTTCATCAGAGAAAAAAATGACTTAATTTAGACAGAAACATTCTTGAGTATGCCGTCGAGAAGGTTTTCATTTGCATCAAGAATAAAATAGCTGAATGAAAGCGGGTGTCTGCCTGATGTAAGTGACTCTTCTTTTTATACAAGCATCTTTTCTGCTTTAAACAATAAGTATTATTTTCTTTAGTGATTCATCAGAAATTAATAAATTCATTGAATGCGTTATTTTGATTCGGATATTAGTACAAAGCCCCGCCCTGTCGCAAGATTACAGATTTCGGTGAAAATTAATATTTATTAAGAGGAAATTTGGCAACGTCTGAAGGCTCATGAGGCGTTCTTCCTTAGGACGGGAGACCTGTACTACCGTGCTAAGGAAAAACGCCGTATGAAAATTTCAGAGTTGCCAAATTTTCTTCACTAAAATGTTTATTTTTAAAGAAATTGATGAATATTTTCCCCTGAAATTCTCAGGAACTTTGGGCGAAATTGCGAACAAAATCTTGCGAAAAATTGGAGGGAATATATTCATAAGTTTACCGGGAAAGTCGTGCTTTATCCAAGGAAATTTGGCAACGCCTGATGGTTCGTTCGGCGTTTTTCCTAAGGCCGGCGCTGTAGTGTGGCTTATTAGAGAGTTTTCTTGCAGAAGAACTACGAGGAAATCACGAGCACGACGATGGAGCAGATCTTCGAAGGCGGCCCCCGGATTTCCAAGATCGGGACCCTGGTTTCCCTGTTCGTGCCCTCGGCGACCGGACTGTGGACGGTCCACTACTCCCTGTCGGATATGTTCAGGGGCATGGTCGGCCTCCTCCCCGTCACCTACGGCGTCATCACCAACTATCTCTTCTTCACCTTCTGGCTCATCAACGTCCGGCTCCTGTCCAGGCTCATCAAAGATTACGGCAGGCTCTTCGAACAGGTCAAAATACCACTATCACGCTGCCGTACTGAGGCCTTGTCTCCACGAGCCGTTTCACGAGATTTGTCCCAGGGAAAAATCCCACTTACGAAGTAGGGAAAAATATTGAGTCAATCAATATTTTTCCCAGTACCAAGTATGGTACTTGTACCCCTAGGACCCACTGAGAGAAGAAGAAGAAGTGAGAACGAATTGTGCGATATTTTATTCATTACTATACATTGTTAATGTTTGTTTAGTTGAAATAATGTGTCTAATTGTCGATTGAGTGCAATTATTATTTTAATCCCGGTTAAATACTCGACTTTAACCGATTTATCTTCCCGCGAAAACTAGTCGCAGGACTGTATGAGCCCCGTCCCGTGGAGACGGTAACTGGGAAAAATCCCAGAAGTTTCATTCCTGCGATTCGAACTTGGGACAAATCCCATGAAAACGTCCCGTGGAGACAAGGCCTTACTAAGGAAAAACAACGTATGAACATTCAAGAGTTGCCAAAACTCCTTCGAAAATACGTTCATTCTTAAGGAAACTAATGAATATTTTTCCTCGAGTTTTTTAGAACCTATAGGTGAAATTGCGAAGAAAATGTCCGAAAATTTTGAGGAAAAATATTCATAAGTTTACTAGGAAATTCATGATTTATGAAATGAAATTTGACGACGCCTGAAGGTTCATACGGCGTTTTTCCTTAGCAAGGCAGCACTCTTCGTGGGAATACCTACTTCGGTCCATGGAAGCAACATTTAAAATTGCAAATTTTGAAGGCTGATACCAACAGACATTTCCTAATTTTCCGGAGGGTTTTATTGTTACCGAATGAATCACGATACCTCCAAGTTTTAGTCATCATACACACAACCGTTTCAATGAAGAATTCGAGGAGTGAACTGGATTGGATTTTGCAAAAAGGAACCAAGAGCATTCCAATGTTGCTAGAATTGTACAACTTACATTCTTAACAATACAATTCCTGGAATCATACAAAAAATTAAATTTACAAAGGTAATTTTCATTATGAATTTAAAGTTTACTGAGAGTAAAGGTATATTTGCTGGGTAAACAAAGTTGCACGATCTTAGCGATATTGGAATGTTCCTGGTTCCTTTTTGCAAAATGCAATCCGACTCTCTGTCAAAGTACAAAAATAAAGTTTCTTGAAAACTTGTTTCTCAGTGTTTGAGAGAATTATGATACTAAAATAATTCTTCATTCATAAGTTACTATCGACAATCTTTATGAGTATCAAATTCTAGGGAATAATGTGAGGTTCTTGGGAAGAGATTCAGGTCACCCTTAAAAATAAAGACACGGAGTTTATTCACTTCATGTCATGCAGAAAGATTATTAGCCAAAGGGAACATGCGATGATGCATCAAGATTAATATTATGCAACAACGTCAAAATAACACTTTCCACCTCAACCATAATCTAATGAAAACTCAATTTTTAGATCAAATGAAGATACCAAAGGTCGCAAACAGTTATTTTTCCTCCAGATTCTTTTAAAATCAATACTTGAAAAAATGCACTATGTTCATGACAGCACGCCTTCTTTCTTCTCAGCGAATTGTAAATAATCCAAGAGTGACAAGCAAAATGATCGAGGAATATCGGCTGCTGTGGGTCGAGATCAGTTTGCTGACGCATCGCCTAAGTTCATTGTTCATCGAAAAAATAAGCACTCACTTCATCGTGCAGATTTCCAACACAATTATCAGCGTATACATTTGGATTTTTTATTCCGTTGATGTGGTTGATTTCCGACTCGACGTTTTGATTCTTCACATCTTTTACGTTTTCTCCTCTCTCATGTTGGTGCTCTCTTACTGCAACTCAGGGTATATGATAGGACACCTGGTACGTTCTTCACACTTATTATTTCGGATTGGTGATGGAATGAAAGAAAATAAGAGGAGAAAAATAGGACAAAATTAAAATTTTTGATTTTTCCAGTTTTTCAGATTCAGATAAATATTTCACTTGAGGATATGATCAATTGTAAATTTTTCATGGTACCTTAGACGGATATGGCTTCCAAGCGAGGCAAAAGGACGATAAACTATAAATACTTAACGACCTCAATTTATGTCATAGTCACTTAAATAATATCGGCTCTTCTATCAGCCCTTATCAGTCCCTATTTCTTTGCCTCTTCCGCCGAAAAAAGAAAAAAAAATCAGGAACAAAGAACAAACAAAAAACCTTACATTAAAATTACTTGATCACAGAAAAACACTCTCTACATCTTTAACCAAGAGTTGAAGAAGAGTAAATGACACTTATAGAAAATTGTATTATTTTCATTCATAGTAAGTACGCCTAAAGGTGGTAAGTACCTGAGAACAAAATTTGGGTCAATTTCAAAAAAGAAACAGAGATCTTCCCTCAAAACACTCGATATAAATAGATCCTTTCCACTTTATTTATGACATCCAAATAAAAGTCTCTGACGGAGAGAGAAAAAAAAAAGGTCGATAATGCTGAGCTATTTCAAATCCTTTTTGCTTCACGATATGCTAATAGAACATTCTAACAGAGACCAAAAATTGTCCACCACCAAAAAAAAAAAAAAAAAAAAAAAAAAAAAAAAAAAAATTTCAATAATGCTAAATTATTTCTAGTGCTATCTTGAAACTGAGAGATGGATTCTATGGACAAACCTTTCTTTTCCAGTGTGAGAAGAGAGTCATTTCAAAATTGCTATCAGCTGATTCGTTCTCAAGACATAAATCTTCAAAAACAAAGGTTCGTATTTCTAGGCGCAAATCTGATTTATATTTGAGTCACACAGACTCGAATAAGTAATTGTTAGCTCAGAGAGCTCTAAATTATCTAAAACTCATTTTTACCTAAATATAATCCAAACTAAACAGTTAAGTTGGATTTCTTACTGATATGAGATTGCTGATTTTTAATAATAGGGGTTGAGATCCTTGAACTCAAATTTGAATTCCTGCGAATAAAGTTTGGTGTGAGCAAAAGAAAATTTACGTTTCACTTTCTCATGAACAAAATCTTATACACAGAGATATTTACGAAAATGCAGAAAAAAAAGCTTCACTCATTTACATCAGATTTTTGTGAGAAATTGTGGATATTTGCACACGGTAATAATATTCCCCCTAAAAACATGAAGAAACAATAGTGTATTTTCTTCGGAAAATACACTAAAAAAGCCTCCTGAGGGCACTAGGGCAAATATGAATTCTTCTTGAAGCTAACAAACAACATATATATCTTTTCTGCCTCTTCTCAAAGAGTATTAACCAACAGTTTAAATTACACTGATGATAAACTCTTTCATACTTGGAACGCCGAACTCCCATTCTGAAATAGACAAAAGAGGAGCATATGAGATAGTGCCACGATTCCAAAAAAATTACACACTGGTCAAACAAAACAGAGCGCATCTAGAAGAGGAGTTTCGATGAAAGAATTGTTTTTGATAGGTATAGAAATAGAAAAAAGTAGTAGCAAAGAACTCCCACGAAGGCTATGATAAAGATTTGGAACTCAATTGAAATAAATAGCAAAAGAAAATCACAAACGAAGCATCTTTAAAACCCGCAAAATGAAAAAAATTAAAAACGAAATTGATGAACACTTGGGGACTAGATTTGTTGGGGAAACTGCAACCATGAGTGCAATGAAGGTATATGAGTCAGTGGAAAATGTTAGCAATTAGGGGTCTATTGGGAAGAAATAGCGGCCTAAAAGCGATGAAAACAAACCAATCAGATGTAGGTAGACGTAGAATTAAACAGAATAAAAAGTTGCACAGGAAATTCGATTCTTAAAAATAATTAATACAGTCATTTTATCACAACTGATCCTGATACTAAGGGAAGAGCAATGAATGCCTTGAACTGCACACAGCAAAGGAAAAAAAAGTTCTAATCGGGAATTTATTGGATAGTTTCTTGGGATACAAGAGGACTGGCTGCATTTTTATTCACTTTTGTATTTTGGTAATACGGTGACTTGCATGCAAATACTGTCGATAAGAAGCATACAATTTTAATTTGCTTTCATCAGAACTCACATGCTAAGTTACATCACAGGAAAACTTATAAACCTTTACAATTCGTAGTATTTTCAGTATTGTTAAATTTTGAGGAATATATCTTTAAATATTTAAACATAGAGGTTTGAAATTTAACGCTGCGCCCTAGAAAAATTAAAGAAGACCAACTGGTGCTACGCAGATCCTGCTAAGCATAGTCACTGCAGTATGACAATCATGCTTGGAAACACAGGAACTTGCTAATGATTTATTACAACCAGTTTCAGATAGTGCTGTTCCTATATTCTGTAAAGTGTTTCCCACCAAACATCAACCTATCTGGATTCTATGGAATCAATCGAGAGACTCTCATCAAGGTAAATACAACTTAAAAGATTTCGGTGAAGGTAAAATGAATCATTACCTAAAACTCCATCTGAAGCTGAGAAATGATTAGACCCACTTAAATTTTGTCTTGCATCATCCCGGTATCTACCACTTTCTAACTTGTTTTGAGTCGGATTTCGCGAGCAGATTCAGTTAAAATTGCTAACTTGCTGCCAAGCTCCGATACAACAAAACGAAATTCACTCCACTTGATGGTGCGCCAACAACATTAGGCTTTCATGCTGGCAGCAATGACGACCACATCCAAAATTCTCGACCCACTTCCCTAGGTGAATGTTGGCCAAAATTCACTAGGCAACTGAGTTTAATTCTTGAATTGAGGGGAGCATGTATCTCCTTTGATTTGCAACCCATGCGATCGAGTTGAAAATTTGACCGAATATACTTGCGGAAATTCATCTTTGATCAGACAAGAGTCTGAGGATAATATGGGCTCACAATCAGCAGGTTGATCATTAAAAATGAAAGATAAAGGGAAAATGAAGCGATCCTTTTGGTTGAAATGGACGGTTTTTATAGACTGAGGGGGAGGTTGATTAAGTGCTTCAAGGGTCTCTCCGCAGTTGCCGCTGGTTAGTCTATCACTTATCTCTTTTGTCAATTGAAACCACTCACTTCTACCAATAGGATCACTCCGATTTCCCATTGTCTTTTTTGTCTATTGTCTTTCAATTTAAAAAAACTGACCCCAAAAAATAAAGATAGCTCTCCTCCTAAGGTTTATCCGAATCTTGTTGCCTCCTACCAACTCTTGACCAAAGCTAAATATTTCGAAATTCATATTGTTTCAGGTTTTGGGTGCGTCAGTGACACATATTGTTGTTCTGATTCAGTTCAGACTAGCAACGGAAGACTCTCTGCGGCTTTATAGACGTCAAACACCACCTAATTTGATTAATGAGCTGTAAAAACTCTCACGGACTGTTTATTGACAATATTGGCTTTTTTCTATTTGTTTGAATTTTACTTCTTAGATTAAAGGTTGTTTTTGACAGAGATAATTGTTTATCAAGTTTCTTAGGGAGGAGCTTATTTTCTACCGACTATTGGAAAGCAGGAAATGAGTTTCTATCAAATTTCCTTGACAGGAAGATCATTCTCTGTCAACTCTTTAATCTGAGTAGCGACTCTCATACGGTTATATGAAGTAAAAACGTGATTCAACTTCAGAGTGGAGGGTTATAGTTCGTAAAAGCACAAAAAAAAAAACGATAAATGTCATTTTCCAAAAAGAGATATGAAAAATCTTCCGTTGTGCACCAGAATTTCTCCGTTTTTTCCTGTTCTCATAGAGGTACCTTTAATGCTGGCAACAGGACTAGTTGCATGATCGGGAGTTTCCACAACTGTGAGCTTGCGCTATGGCTCTGGACCTATGCGCACAATTAAAACAGTCACAACTGCATGGCTGACCACTATTACTCATGACCGTTGGCTGTTTTTGGTACACACCAGCACTATTCCTACAAAATTTGATCTTGTGACAAAACTTTAGAGTAATTTTATCAACAGCTTTGTTTTGTATTGATCAATCAACAGTCGAAACTCGAGAATTGAATGAATCACGAAGCACAAACATTTTATTCTTCAACATTTAAAAAAAAGTGGCTGAATAACAATTTGTGTAAAGTAGTCAAACATGCTTTGAAGACAGCGAGAAATTATATCAAAGGAAGAAAACCACCACCAGAAGCCGGAGTTGAGATTTTCAGAAACCACCACCGCTAAGTTTGATTTAAAAAATATCACTCACGGAATGACGACAAAAACGTCGCAGTCTTGAAAATTACACAGTTATTTGAACATTTTGGACAAAATTGCTAAACTCTACTTTGGACGGCACAAGGTAAAAAGCGGGCGTGACTTCAGCTCCACAAGGGCACTTGCAGCCTGCACAAAGAATGAAAAGCTTGTGAGTATGTGAGTAAAAATCTTTGGTTTAGAGTCAGAGGATCTTCACAGTACAGTGCTTTCAGTAATTCAAGGTAACGCTGAACAACAGCTGGCAACCGTTGCAACTCAGCGACATTTCAGTTATAATGTTTCAAATTTACTGAGTAAAATCACAGCTGATTACACATGCAATGGACGCATTCTTTTCCATGTTATGTTAAAATACAGTGAAGATCTTCAACTCACTATCAGGGTCAACATTATGAGTTGAATACCTCCATTGTATTTTCATGCAAAAAAAACGCTTAGATCGTGTGGCTAAAGTAGCTTCTGTGCTCTTTAAAGTAATAGAGCATTGAATCAGTGAGAACGAAAACACACCAACTCGGTAACTCGAAAATGATAAATTTTCATTAAAGACAGTTAGTTTACATAAAGGTTATTGAAGTTAGCGTCTTTGTTCCAACTTGGACCTTAAAAGTGTCCATAAGTACTTGTCTTTCAGCAACAAAAATATTTTTCTTAAACTATGACCTCTTCACCTTCTGCGCAGTATTGTGTGTGTCTTGACTATTTTCATTTTTCCGAGTTGGTGTGTTTTCATTCTCAGTGATTCAATTTGCAGGCATCTGAAATTGTATGAATTTTTTGTTTAAGCGGAAACGATTGAGTAAACTGAACACTAGGAAACCCTTGGTTTATGAATTGAACAATTATAGGAGAACATATGAAAAAATGATCTAATCTGCTAAAATACAAGTGTCTAAGTGGGAAATGTTGCCAGATGACGTCACTAGTGGCGCATTTTCTCACTTTTGAATCAAATTTCTTTAGTATTTCACATATAAAAAAAAAAATTATAAGAAATACGGTGAAATCAGCTCTTTAAGCACTTTCAGATGAAGCATTAAAAAATTTGCATACATATTCTCCATTGTTTTCATATTTTCAAGCAAACTTGAAGCAAGATCAATCTCAGTTACAAACTTCAGATCAGTGCATATTTTATTTTCTACAGGAAAATAGACCAATTCCACAACTTGGGTTTTCACAGAATAACCATGAAACGATTACAGGATTTCCAAGAATAATTCCTTTTCCAATTCCCAGACATTTTTTGCTTTTCCCTCATTTCAAAATTTCTGAATTCTTTGTCTTTCTAGACCTTTGAACAAAATTTCAATCAAATCTTTTTGTTTTAATTGCGCTATCTTTGGAAGAAATTGTCACTTTCAGAGATTTCAATTATGAAAAAAAGCACTCGGAATTTGTTTGAATGCAGTGTCAGTGCTCTCTCAAGTGGCAATGGCTGAAACTGCTGAGCTGCTGCTCGACTTGCAAAATTATCTGCCTTTGCCCATAAACTCTCGGACTTTTCCAGGTGGCCATATGGATAGAGTTTAGCAAAACAGTCACATCCACACTGCAGTGTTTGAAAATCTTATCTCCGATTTTAAATTTTAGAGAGGAAAACAACCTCTCGCCTAATATTTTTTGGAAATAATCGTAATATGATCAAGAAAAAACAGTAATGATTTTCGAGTGAGTGGGTTAGTTGGTTTTCTTTGTAAAAATTAAAACAGGAGATGAGATTTGGAAACACCGCAAAGTAGATTTGACTGTTATGCTTAACTACATCAATATATTCGCTGACTTTCCAGGTTTCCAGATAGCCAGAAACCTTAATTTTGCCATTTGATGATTGAAAGGTACCAAAAATATCTTACCCATGATCCAACTGAAGGAGCCAAGTTTTGATTTGCACTTAGGACAGTTGATTTTCCCTTCTTCCGCGTGGGAAACATTCTCGATCCAGTTGAGAGGCTCAATAAAGTGAATCTGTGAGCACTGATCTACGTTTGACAGATCGCCAGACCACTTAACGTTTTTCCATGAGGGTTTTTCACTTGGGGAATGCGGCAGAATATTACTGATGGAAGCAACTATGCGTCTGCAATGTGCAAAAGAAGGTTTTCAAGTCTTACTGTTCACAAAAATGTTACAGTGGTATCCATCTCATTTTCTTTTAGGATAATTGTAGTAAATGATTAAGGAATAATAAGGAAGTTGTACGCAGTTGTAATAATTGGATTGAGTATAACAAAAATGCATCAAGTCAAACCGAAAAAAAGAGGTTTGAAGTTTTATTCTTAATGTTCAGGACACAGTTTAATGACTGTTACAATTTTAAAATAATTTTCTCGACTTTGACTTTTGGACAGGGAAAAATTCATGAATAGTTAAATTCAAAACTACTGCCAACTCATTTTTTTCTTCCAAAATGCGACTTGGTAGATTTATAATTCACTCAGTTCAGTTGACCTCCAACAGTAAAATGCATATTTTTATATTTTTCATATTTAAGCTAAAACCTTTCAGTTTTCATTGACAGTCTTGCACACATGATAATAGTTCAAAATAATTCTCTTTTACCATGATTTAAAACTCCAAAATGCTACTCAAGGATGCAAAATTTCTTACTGGTTCCATGTTCAAAAATGTAACATAGGTATATTTTCAAATTTTTCAAAGTGATGACCTTTTTTCCTCCTTCAAAAGTTTAAAATTTTTTAAATGGTGCGTCATTTCCACATTTGCGCAAACTGATGGTTCAGAGGCTGAAAATCCTTTTTGGCGCCCTTCCCATTTTTAAAAATGAAAGGTTTCTGCACCCTGTATGCAAGTGAGCCAGGTAAAAATTTAATTTTTTAGTCTAGTAATATATGAAAAAATAAAAATTATTGTAAATTAGCAGAGTTTAATATTATGTAGACCACCACAAAAAATTTTTACAGGATATTTCTACTTGACTCCAGAACGCTGACCAAATGCAGACCAAGATTGGCGTTTCCGCAGTTTCACCATCCATTTTTCCCTTCAAGTCTGGCTCTGACTCAATCAGTATTTTTAAAATATTTCAAGGGCCGCCTTGACAAGAATAACCGATCTCAATATTCTGTGAAAACTTAAAATATTGCTGGAGTTTTGACTCTTCCCCTCCCCTGTTGAAAGAATATCAGGGAAATGAGTTATAAAAATGTTTGGGCCTTTGGAAGAAAACTGAGCTCATCCTCCCTAGTGGACTGATTATTGAAATTGATTGACAGAGCGATAGACCTAGAAGACATATAGAGTATAAAGCTGGTTGAAATGGGTGGCTCCTGTAGACTAAGGGATAAAATGATGGATTGACCAGGGAATCTACTAAAACAGGCTGGTCAAAAATAAGTACTTTTACAGTACTTTTTCGGCACATTCTCAAGAAATTCAGAACCTCCTCTGACAGAAAAATTCCGTACTCTTTCAGTACCTCCATTTGACGAAATTAGAAACATTTCAAAAATTTGAAATTGCGACAAAAATGACAAAAAATTTAAAAAAATTCCGGACCTTTTTGCGGAATTTTCGCACTTTTTCAGTGCTTTCAGACCGCCCTTAAAAAATCAGTACTATTTCCGGACCTGCAGACACCCTGACTGACTAAAGGGCCTCTAGCAAGTTGCCATACGTTAGTCTATTACCTACCTCATTTGTTCATTGCAACCACCCCCTTCCACCAATAGGATCCTTCCATATCCCTCTTGTCTTCTTTGTCTACAGCTTTGTCCATCGATTTCAATAATCGACCCGCTGTAGCAATGCCTGAGTGAAACTAAGCATGGAATACTCACCGGCACTTTCGACATTTATACACGAGTGGATCTGGTTTCACAGACGTGAGCGAAGGATCCGGTTTAATGACATCCATGCAATCTTGAGGTAGAATTTTGACTTCAAACCACCAAGGAAAAATAAAAAATTACATTAATGAAGAGAATGAGTAATACAGGTAAATATTAAAATGCATTTATCAATTTTGATATTTGTAATAAATACCTCACCAGGGGTGAACATGAGATGGGTGAAAACTTAATCCGCCAAAAAACACAGTAGAATAGCAATATAATCGCAGGAAAGGCTGCAAAATATAAAAGATCAAAGGCAGAAAGTTAAGTGAAAAACCCAAGAAGTTTCAATAAAATTACAAACCCGTTTTCAACCAGAAAACAAAAGAAAGAAAAAACGAGTCGTCGATTTACTGTTGTTGCAAGACTGAGACTGATGACAAAGTATGTAATCAAACCGGGCCTAGTGCGGTAAAATCAAAGTATGTGAGCATGTGATAACAAAGAATATCGAAATTTTTTTAAACTTTTAGATACTCTTTGTTACTACATGCCTCGATCCCGCTGCGCTAGGCGAGGTTTCTTTGCTTTCTTATCAGTATCACTCTAACAATAACAGCAAATCGATTGCTCATTTTTCCTTTCTTTTTTCTAGTTAAAGAGAGGCTTGTCCCTCTTAATACCTCCCGGTTCTTTCACTCAATTTTTTGTCTTCAATCTTTTGTATTTTTCAGCAGCCTTCCCCCGAATGAAGTTTAGATTTTTGAGGTTTCTGGTGCGTTTTCTCCCAAACCATTCATGATTAAAAAAAAAAAAAAAAAAAAAAAAAAAAAAAAAAAAAAAAATGTTGTCGGATTTAGTATACTTCCACCTTTAATTCAAACCCTCTTTTTTTAAAATTTGACCATAGGAATGCTCAGAGGAGCAATTTTCCTGCGCTGCCACCATTACTCTCATCACCAGGTCTGTACATCCCAAAACTGTTTTGAGAAAGTATGAAAACCTTTAGACTTCATGCTTCACATAAAAGTTTGAAAATAATTTTGACCTACGGATAAATCAAATGGGTTTGTTGCGCTTGTCACCAAATCGTATTTTAAAGCTTGATTCTTGTAGATCAGCTAACAATATTAAGATCCGTCCAAACTGCATTATACTACGTTGAATGTTAACTGAGATATCGCTCTTTGAAAAGTCGGGATTTTGATGTCATCCACCGCGGTGATGACACCCTTTGTTTCTTCCACCTTGCTTTCATCCGAGCTTCACGTTGAACAACCAGTGCAAATGTGTGTCATGCCGACTGATGAAAGCAAGGTGGAAGAAACCAAGAGTGTCACTACTGCGGTGGAAGACGTCATAAACCGAATTTTTCAAAAGGCGATATCGCGACTAATATTCAACGTAGAAAGTTGCTGTTTGGACAGAACTGAATATTTTTAGCTGATCTACAAGAATCAAGCATCAAACCCGATTCTGCAGAGATCAGCGCATCAGACCCATTGATTTCTTTTGAAATAGGCTTCAGTAAGAGGTTGGCAGCAGGGAGTGGAGGAGGAGATCAGAGGGTGTCATTTGCCTGATGATCTGTGTGAAGATTGGTTCCATTGAAGATTGGGAGTCAGTACGCTCTAGTGCTCTAAGGTAGCGGCTTAATATACATAGTCTCTTTTGATGATGGTGTTTTTCAAATAATGGTGAAACATTCTAATATTTATGATAATCAATGTTAAAAAAATGACTACTCACTGAAAATTGTCAAACTAATTACAAAGCAGGTGTTCAGAGAGGGGAAAAAAAACATTAAAACAATTAGTGTACCTTTTCTCACTTTAACAGCAGCATGTCGCAATCTGAACATGCGATACTGGAGATTAGTCTTGTCAATGGTAAAATTCATCACCTCGTACAATTTTAACTGCGCTTCAAAACCTTTGTTTGGACTAGCAAAACGTCTGCAACTTTTCACCCTGAAAAAGAGCATTGAAGTGCTTTAAAAAATGACACATCAGCAACAAAACAACTTATTTCATTGTAAACGAACTTGCTGAAATCAAACACGCTTTGATGTGGATGTGAAAATAAAAATTTCCTACCTAACTCAACTATGATCCTAGAATTTACTTTTCTAACTTTCTCTCATTATCAGGGCATTTCATTAGAGGGTAAAAATTATATGCTGACTAGGAATGTACCAATATTTCAGGGCAAATGGAATATGATAAAAGCACGCGATGACCAAAAATTAACAAATATTTTAATACCCTTCGAATGTACAAGGAGATGGAAACTTCTTTCCTTCAAAACAGAGTTTTACGAGTAGATTTGAAAAATTTCAGTTTTTTTCTTAAGGCTCAGAGACATATCTAATTTTCAATGATAGCTTGGAAAACAAGATCAATGTAATAGAGAAAATTTAAGAGGAAATACATTTAAATAAATTATGTTATCATCCATCAGTATTATGTAATTAAAAGTTGTAAAGTTCAAAATTATCCTGATACTGAGAGAATAAATTAGACAATTGTTTTCTTCAAAAGGTTTTTAGTTGGAAAAAAGGGGTTTGGGAGGGATTTGTTCAATTTACTTTTCCACTAAAATCACCCAAAATAGAAAAATAAAAAAAGAACAAACCTTTTAAAGGATTCATCAAATGAGATCTGATGTTTTTTCATGAGGTACGCAATAACTACAGAGGCACTTCGAGACACTCCATAATAACTGTAACGGAAAACATTAAAGTTATAAAATATATAAGCAGAGTAGGAATGATGGATGGATTTCAGCTTGAGTATTTTCTGGGACAATAAAGTTAAGAGGACTTTTTGATGACATCTGCAGAGAAAATTCCTTCAATGATTACATGGAATTGTGTGCACATAAGTGTAGAAAACTTCCTCAAAATTTGAAACTCTACCACGTTTACATTGCCCTGTCAAGAAAAAGCACAGTATGTGTGGGGAAAAATAGGTTTTTACCATAAGTCTGTATATTTTTTATTTTTACTCTACACATTTGGAAGAAAAATATACTGCAAAAATTAAAATATAAACGTGCAAAAGAAGGAAATTAACATGGGAGCAGTACATAAGATACCATGAAATCAAGTCATGGTTGAAGATGATTTTCTCTGAAAGCCTATTCATTGAATGCACAATACTTTTTCTGAGCAGGGCAGTATACTGTATGTGGAATTCAAACATTTAAGTACTGAATTATTCCTAAACTTCATCAGCCAAAAACCACAGAAAAATAATTACTCAATCCGGGGAGTGAGGTTACTGCAAAAAATAAAAGCTCAAATACAAAAAAAAAGGGGGGGACATTTCGAGTTAAATACAACCTCATTATTGTCAATCAGAAAAAAGGAAGCAAAAGTTAGTCGTTGATTCTTGCGCGACCGAGACTCACCAGTGAACTAAGACGTTTCCTTTTTCCTGGCCTTCTTTGATGAAATCATAAGAAGTAGAAAAATAACTCAGCAAGTCTTCCTGAGGAATATCTGTCACTGTAAAAGGAAAAATATAAAATGTAAGATATAACTTACTCAAAAGGTGAATTTATTTTGCAAGATTTATGTAGCGTCAAAACATTATTTTCCTTTTTACAGGATAAGCGATTCAATAGTTTATAGTATAACAATGTATGCTCATTAAATTTCTCGAGATGATATAGTAAGTTTCATAAAATAGTGATGTCATTAGGTCCTGACACTTGATGGCCCTCTCAGTTTTGAGACTGGCAATTATTGAGTGAATATCAAACAATACGATGATAAATCTATTCATGTGTCAGTCATGACTTCATTATACTCCAGAAAATATCTAAGGAACTTATTTCCTTGTGCTAGTTCAATCACATGAATTTTAAAATGGGTTTAGAAGTGAGCTGAAATGTGATTTGGACTTTAAAAATCCACAAACTTGAGTAAAAAACGCATTCATTGTTAACAAGTAAAGTAAATACTCACCTCGCCCAATAACAAAACAGTAGAATTTCTATGATTTCTTTGCAAACTTAAACGGTAAGTTAAAATAAAGGGTCCCATTCATCATGGGATGGAAACTTGTTAGCATTTTAAGAAAAATCAACATTCAAGAGTTTCTGAATAAAGCCTGCTCTAATTGAGCTGAATCTCACCTTGAATAAATTTATTTTTGATTTCCTTCAGATCTGTGATGGTTTTGGGCAATGGACATGAATCAACCGTCAAAATATGAGAGATTGCATTACTCACAAGAGTATGAACATCCTTTGCAGCTGTTAAATTTCCTGTAGGTACAAAACAGAGCAGTTAGAATTTTAAGAATGGAACACGTTAATATTGTGCAAGGAGAAGTTCAAAATTACAGGAATTAGATTTAATCATACAAAATAAAATTGAAAGCTGGAGACTGATTTGGACGTATTTCTATCAAACGGAACTAAGCGCCAATTTGAGTTCCTTTTGAGGAATTTAGAATCCCGGATAGCGCATTATGTCAAACGGACCTGTGCGCCATGGAAAAGCATTGCGAGTACAGGACAGAATAAGCCGGACGCCCGATTCCGCCGACAATCCAAGCCCCCCTCTACCTTCTTCACCCTTTGGCGCTTAGGTCCGTTTGATAGAGATACGTCCATTTAATCTGCATGATAGAACACATTGACAGTGTAATTCCTCAACCACGTATTTTGGTTTGCGACGTAGCAGACTTCCTGTCATACTTCATGTTTTAAATGGAAAATTACTCAATGGAAATTCTTAAAAACTGCAGTGATTTTTCTTCTTGGTGCGAGCAAAATTATGCAAAAACTTCAAGGAATGATGTTGATTTTTTCTCCCTCACAAAAATAAAATAGGAACAAAGATTTTCAAACACTGTAACTGAGATACCATGGTTGCGGACTTACACCGCCGAAATGTGAATTGTAAGTAGGTACCTGTGATAGGCAATCTCTTACACAGGGACTGAAATCCAGTGATTAAGGTGATAACATGACATGAATATGAATCAGAAAAATTGCTAAGAAGCATTTGCAGTCACTTACTTCGGTTACACAGAATTGTTCCAAGCCTCTTTTTCCTGGCTGCATGTTAAATGAAATGAACGGATCAAGTTTTCCAGAAAACATGTGTGTTCAGGGATCGGTTGCGTACAGATTAAAGATTTTGAGTTCTCTACACAGCGCTAGAATGTACAGTTAAGAATGTAATTGAGTAGGAAAAAAATTTGTCTAAACTCTTTTCCAATATATCTCTAATCTGTGCGGATCACTATCGCTGAGGCCATCGTGAGTGAGTTGGCACTGGGTTTGCGAGAAAAATACAACATCCAAGCAACGATTCAGTACCATGAAAAGGCGATTATTACTTAAAAGTTACTTAAAGCTTTGGCTTCGATAGAATTATAGCTGAAGATAGTTCCAGCGGAATAAAAGAGAGGTCAACTTACCCAAAAATAAACCCTCCTCAATCTTGTTGAAGTTTGTGGGTCCGGCATCTAGATCTTCGTCCAATCGTTCCAATGCATTAATCAGACCGTTATTGTGATAATGCTTTACTTGAGATGTCATGATCCTTCTAGGTATGAAGGGGAGGAAGTTATCAAACTCTGAGATGGGACAGGTAAGTATGAGAACTGAGAACGTTTCGAACAACAGGTCTCAGAAGTAAATAGGGCGAGTGATACGCTCTAATTTATTGAGCGAATGCATTCCGAGAATACGTGCATCTATGCGCGGAACATACGACATAATTAAACTAAAAATGAGCATCAAAAAAAATTAAATTTCTGTCCCGCGTGATAATTTTAAAAATCCGAAATTATCGAACCGAACCAAACACGATGATTACTGATGGCACGATACAACACATGATTCACATGAACACACACACTCTCACACCCATTTTGGCGCCACTTCAAAAAAAGTCGATTCTGGCCTCATTGATGCCAGTTCATGCTCATTTCGCCCTCCAATTTCATTTTAATTAATGAATTATGGATTAAATACTCCTTTCCTTGAATTTTTCGGTAAAGGGCCGTTGATCACACTCCAGAGTCGCTCATCTTGGCGATTATTCCTTCTAATAAATTGTAAATTTTGCAATGATAAAGTAAAGGACGGCAACTGTGTAAACTTTCAATCAATGAACAAAGAACAGTGGTGGGGGTAATTATGCAGGATTTTGTTTACGTTTGAAAGTGAGGTTATTTTGTGATCGAAAGTTGTGTAATCCTACTTTATTTGATGTGAAGTATCCCTTAACAAGTAACTCAGTGACTATGGTTTGTAGAGTAGATTATGACAGCCTTTTGAAAAATCTGAAGTTTTATTTTCTATTGTGGTAGTTAAATACCACACTACTTTCACGCATACACCTCTTCATAGACCTGTAAAATGAAGCGAGGCAATGCGGCTAAAAATGACAAGCTCTCAAGCTTGAAGAAAGACTTCAGCAAAAAATTACCATCATCCACACCAGTGGCCTCTCCGAGAGTAGCAGGCAGTACCGAATCGAGTGCCAAAAAAGAGGTTGCTCCGAAAGCTAGAAATGAAACGCCGTCCAGTGCCAATAGTGTGAAAGATAATAAGACGAGTAAAAGCTCTGCCAATTGCCCAGTACCCAAGCCAAGGAAAATAGTGAATGCTACTTCTAATGGCTCAGTCAAGGAGCCTGAAATTTCTGTTGTTGATCAAGAATCTGATGGGTCTGCAGTCTCTGTATCCAGTATCCAAATGCCCGAACTCTCCAGTATTGCTAGTAATGGAAGACCAGAAGTTCAAGAGGGTTGCAACCTGTACCTGAGGTTTTTATATGATGAAGTAAATGCTCACAAACTGGAGGCTCCAAGTTTCCTGAGGGTGCCGGAATCTAGCTACAGGTTTTTATTGATTTTATGTTATGTTTCTGACTTCCGTAACTTTCCTGGTGATTTTTTTGCAGGGAAGATGGGGCCAGATACATCGCTTTCCACTTTCTAAAATGCTTTCTGATAAGCCCAAGATGCACCCTGACATTGTCAGTTTCAATATTGTATTCCATTCAGAGAAGCAGAGTCAAGAAGAAGAAAAACACTCAAATTCAATAAAGTTGCTTTCATTTTAAGTAATGTTCTACATTGAATATAGGCAATTTTCAGAAATAAAACAGGTATTAAAAACAAAGAAGTGTGCTACATGTTTACTTGGGTCTAAAATAAGTCGATAAGAGATGTAATGTTTTTTGAAAGCAGAGCTTAATTGTGTAGATGAGATAAGATAAAATTTACTGTCAAAAATTACATGGTTAAAATTTGGACCAAGTGACATGAGATAAGCAGCCTTCTCATGTACTCTTTTCTTTTGATTTTTTTCCACTTTTTCTTCTCATCATTTCTTCATTTTCTAATTTTAGTGTGACGCTTCGACATGCTGCAAATGAATTTTCAAACTCCTCTCATCGATTAAGGGTTAGAGATCATGCTGAATCCGTTCAACTTGAAAGTCTTTCAATAGATGCCTTTTTTGAACTTCTGGATGGACTATTTAAGGTCGGTAACACTTACCATATGACTTACTATCTTTTCGATCTTATCACATCATTACATGTGGTGATACTTCTTGTACTTAATCTGTGCTCCACCTTTTCTGGAAGCCATGCGTGTTATGAAGCAAGTAGTCAGCCAGCAGATTTTGCCGTAAAAAATAATTTGCAGTGGCCAAACAGAGTACCTTAAACATTTCTTTTTCATCCTTTCTTTTTACAAATTTCTATGCTCTTTGCAGGGTGATCATAAAAATTGTGTATTTATTTAGAGGAGGATACTAGACTGACTGTCAGTCTGATTGCATGGAGCTAATTAATTGATCAGCTTTGTCAAAAATTTTATGATCGGCAACCGCCTTGCGATCCTATTGTCAGGCCAAATAAGTAACCAGGTGTCAACTTGCAAGGAGGTGTACTCTTAAATTCATATTTTTTGGTAGCAAAGTTTGCTGACCATCCTTGTTTTTTATCGGTGAAAATGTATTTGTCCAGCTGAAGAAGCTGTGTTAAATGGCTGGACTAAATGCTCTCTTGCTTCACTTCAGTTTTTTTGCAAAAAATAAATAAAATTAAAGGTACGTTTAGGTATTCGACTTCTCAAACCAATTAGGATTTTGCAATGGGGATTGCCAGTCGTACAATTAACATAACTGTCCTATCACTTAGTTCCATTCTATGTTAGTATGGCAATGTCCACTAAACACATAATTTCAACAATCAGCATACCTACTGTTTGGCCGGACCAATTAAATTTTTTCATCGCTCCCCAGAACTTAGCTTTGAGATGGCTCTAAAAATTTAACTTTGCAGACAAAGAGTGAAATCATGAGGTACAGTTTGACCTTTGCTGCCTATATAGGAACCAGACAGCCTAGCAAAATCAGAAGTTACTGAAGATAAGAAAAATAAACTAACCAGCTCAGTTTGGTTTGGTTTCATATTTTTGGGTTTTTTTGTATCAAACTAGGAGTAGAACACTTCAATAACTTAAGGTTTAGTTTTTGTTACTACTTACTTGGTCTCTTTTCCTGTAGATGGTCACAAAAAAGGCGATCCAACAGTCCTGCATTATTCCTGTAACCCCCAGGGTTCTTGTCCTTTGCAGAGTGGTCCTCCCAAATTTTGCAGGGCCCGAAAATTGGTTTCCTTGACCTTAGCGCTCTCCCAAAATGTCAAGTCTACTATTGCCTCAAAAGTTACCGTCTTGTGCTAGTAGAGCAGGACTATTGGATTACTGTGTGTATTTTCAGATTATATTGGTTTCATCATTGTTGCAGGAAGGAGGGGTCACTTATGAGCGTGTTCTTGTTCTATTTTTCTTCTGCACCGACATCACCGTTCGAGCACTCCGTGACAATTTAGTCAACTTCTTCAATGACTTAGTTGGTTGGACTCTTAAGTTCTTTTCAGAGAATTTATTTGACTGGGTACAACGGAATGGTGGTTGGGTAAGCGAAATTTTATTTTCAGCACTTGAATTAAAAATTTGTCTAGTTTGTTTATTTCTCTTTAAATACTCAATCCGTTGGATCCTCCAAATTTTTAACTTGTTTTTTCTTTATTTTTTTACTTGGATGATCCACCATTAAACTGAAATGAAGCTGAATGAAGGTTGGAATATTAATATGCTTCATTAAACTTTATTAGTTGCAAATTTCCATGAGTGTATGGAACTCTCAAGAAAGACCAAGTCAAGGCGGTTTCCATGTGTGTTTTAAAATTTCAGCTAAAAGAATAAATGAATTTGTTTTAACACAATGGGGATCTTGCAAACTTCAACTAGAGCAGATAGAAGAGAAGTCTCTAATGGCAAATGGCTCCAAAATCATGATGAGTGCAACGGAAAAGTCTGAACTACACTCTCAAATCCACAATCTGCAGAAGAAATATCCGTTTTCTTAAGCTTCCGGCTTCCAAAATGATACTATGGCATAGGTAAACATTTTGCAAGAGGAGTCATTCCATCTAACCTTGCACACTCGGATGCTACACAATATTCAACATGGCAGATGCCAACCAGCCAAAACACAAGTGACAAATTGGGATTTTATCAACTGGTGTGTTTATATTTACATTCTCCTTGCATTGATGAAGACCATGATGCTTCCTACCGATTTTCGCATGGAAGCGGCAGCCATGTTTAATATTGTGTATCATCTTAGTGCGCTAGGGTTGGCTGGAAGAACTCTTACATGATGCCACATGATGCTCACCTGTGCCGTAGTATTGTTTTTGAAGCTGGAAGCTTTAAGAAACACATATTTTTTGGGCAGATTGTGAAGTTAAGAGTGTACTTTAGACTTTTTCAATGCGCTCATCGTAATTTTTGAGCCATTTATTTTATGAAGAAACTCCCCTTATTGTTCTAGCAGAAGTCGGCAACCCACCTATTGCATATGCCCAAACCTATTCTTCCTGCTTGTAACCACAGAAATACTTTACATAGTCAACCATTTTGAGCAAAGCAAGCATATAAAGAAATAGTTGAACTAAACAATTATTAACTCTGCTAATGCTTTTCCTTTGTTTTCAGGCTCGCGTTCTGGAAAAATCAATGGACTTTACTTACAAAGCTTTATTAGTGACAACGTTATGTTTCTCCACACTCGCTCTCATCTCATATCTTCGCAAGAAATGAACCCTGTCCATACAAAGTAGTTTTTAGAATCATTTTTCAACAGTATTTTCCAAAAATAGCATCAACAGTTAGGGTAAAATTTAGGCCTAAGGGTGCTGAATAAGTCGAGCACCTTGCGTTTGTAGAAGCTTGCAAGTTGCTGCATCTCAATGATGATTTATCTTGAGTGGAATCATTGGAACAACGATTTTCAGCTTCAATTTTTTTGCTGATTTTGTACTTAGCTTGGACAATAATTCTGTCCGACTAAGATGAGTCAAAGTTGAAATTTTAGAAATGACATTTGCAAGTCTGACCTGGGTATTTGCCCAATTTTAGCCATGTATCACTCGTGGTCTTTGAATTTTATCGGCGTGAAGCTCTGTTAAAAAAGTTCCTGCTGAGAGTGGTACATGTTACATAGAATTTTGGGCACAGCCAGTTATGCAGGAAGCAGTTTTTACAGGTAGATAAGTGTTAAAGACAGAAAGGAAGGACTCTTCTCTCACCTGGTTGTGTTTTGTTTAAATCAGGGTCAGACATTTTTCAATGAAGGAGAAATACATCTTGTAAGTTGAAATGAATTTGTTGATATCATGTTTTTCCCTCCATGATTTACTTTCATGAAAAAGCATGACTTAATAGAAAAGTTGGAAGTCTTCAAAAAAATTCCAAAATATATGCTCCCGATACGAGCTGAACATACCACGTAGGGATTCTATTGAATTTTAGTGTGAACATTATGTATTGTATTAATTTAAGATACTTTTAAACACCTATCTATTACTCACTGATCTCAAATCTTTCAATTTTTAGCTTTTTATCATTAGTCATATGTATCTTAAGGCAGTACCGTCCTTGCTGTTTAAAAAGCTGAAGATATGCACCACCGACATCCTAAATTTCTCCAAGAAACTTTTAGACATTAGCTAGTTTTTCCTAATTATTTTAAAATTTTCAGACGTTAAGAAACTTCCCAAGCGTTCTCTCAAGTAGTATTACCTCTCATGTTGTTTAAGATGAAGAATTTGTCTTTTGAAGCTGTAGGCACTTAATGTGTCCATTATAAAAAGTAATTTATTGAAACTTCGCTCACCCGGTTACAAAAAAAAAGGAGAAAAGAAAAAAGTATTCACACTCAATGTCAGTGGCAGTAAAATTTTATTTTCCAATTTTAATTAATACAGAATTATACTTCAGTTGTTTTGAGTGAATATCAAAATCCAGAAGAATATATTTTGCAATACCTGTTCAGATAATAAACTTATCTATGTAGTTCACCCGAAGATTTTATCATAGAATGATGAAGTCCTTTTTTTCCCTTCCTTTCTTCAGAAATTTTATTTGTGAAGTGCTTTTGCCAAATTTTGCCTAGTATTTGAGGACTTGTGTGAATCTCTTCAGTTTTAATGTTTCAACATTTTATTTTATATTTTTATCCTTAAGTGGAAAAAAGTTACTTGTAGAGAGATGAAAATTCAACTGTAAATTCTTCATGATTTAACCATATCTTCAACGCAACTCTCAAATTTAATCATTCAATAGCTTCCTCACATAAATATTAATTGTTGATGGCGACTATGAAACAGACATATTGGAGAATTGCCCTTTTTGCACCACAGTCCTCAATTATCATTAAGTGATCAGAATTTTTTAAAAATGATTTATTGTACATGACTGCAAATTGTGCTGTAATTTCTCAGAATTCTTTAGTCTAGCAATAAGGCTTTGCTCTATTATTTTCAAGACATCGGTAGTCAATTTATGATCCTCTATGCTAGAGAGTCTTTTTTCCTCAATGCCTTTGCTCTTTCAATGTAATAGAATAACCTATTATAGTTTTTTAATTCCATTACCCAGATGTTTTTTGATTGCCATAATGCCTTTGTTGATTTGACCTCTTTTTTTTTTTTTTTTTTTTTTTTTTTTTTTTTTTTTTGTGCAAAGGAGACTCCATTATTTTAAGCCGCTGTCATTCAATAACGTAGCAATAAAGCAGGAAGTGATGGCCGTTGTAGATTTAGTAGCCGTTTTTAATGTCGTTCGATAACATCATTGGATACCTTATAAAATTTCCAATACATATTCAGGAGAACAGTATATTATATAGTAAAATAGATCCATATTTTCGCCCCCCGAGAAATGGTGCCAAATTACAGAAAAAGACACAGAAATTTTCAGAGTAAAATGGTCATTTTCCAGGAACTTTATTCCTAGTTTCATATACTGGCATCATGATAATAAGTACAAATCCCAACTGGCTACCTTAGCTACCCTAGCTTTCTATGGTCGGATCACTGCTTTGCTAACCAGAGAGCATAACTTTGTTTTCATGTGAGCTTTGGAAAGTATGAAGTTTTAAGTACCAAAGGACTCATGTCAAATTGTAAGAGATGTTTTTTTGTCAGCAGAAAAACGTGAAGATAGTCGGTGACTCAAAAAGAGAGAGCTCTCAATTTTGGTTATTTAGTGACGAAATGAATTGCTCAATTATTTAAAGCTGATATTCTATTTCATTAAAATTCTGGTCTTAAAATCAAGTGACTTTCTTTTATTTCCAAGTCCAAGTATGTTTTACTTGATGAAAAATGACGAGGAGAAAATACTATGCTTCAATGAGGCAGAGAAAAAAGGCAGCAGAACGAACACACTATTCATGGCGAAGATCGAAGCCTATATTGCATAGATAACAGGATACTTGGACCTGGCTGCGGCCTCAGATTGCTCTCCTCTTACAGGACAAGCCGCCTGCTTTACCAGCATGCGGCATGGATATAGCAAAAAACAATAATCTTGGATATATTATGAAACTTATATGAATTTTCAAGCGCCAACATTTTGCAATTACTTATTGTTAATTGCCAAACCTAAGTATTGTGGATGATATTCAGACGTAACGGGTATTTATAATCTGTATGAATTCATTGGAATAATTAACTCAGTGTCCTATAACTGAAAATTTAGGTAGTGGTGCGATTCTTTGAAGGAAAATTATTGAAAATTTTGGCACACAAACGCTTACAAATTTCAAAGCAAACTGTAACTATGACAGAAGGTAGCAGTTTCAAGGGAAAGCTATTTTTCCAAGTTTTGCCTCAAAGAAGGTTTAAAATTGGCAGAATAAAACGCTATCTTATTCACTACATGTTGACCAGAAAAATCTTCACTCCTTTCACATGAAGGTATACCTCCACTTTAATGTGAGCCAGGAAAAGAGCATATACAGTTACATAGACATAAAATAAACCTACAGGTCGGAGAAACGGCAAAATCAAGTTAATTATGCACAACTCATTTTTTGAGATCTGAGAAAAAATATTAGTACAAAAAATTCTTTGGGATATTATTTAGTCTATCCTGTCAAAAATCGAAAAGCTGATTTCTCAACCTAACTTGGAAAATTCCTCTCCAAAAACTGAGGCCCCTATTCGAGTGAAAAGGGGCCTTTTCTATATTTTTTGAAGGTAAAATTCCCAAACCATATCGGCATTGTAGACTTCCAGTCATACTCCATACTTTCAGTGGAAAAATATTCTATGTCATATATCAAAAATTTCCATACCTATCTATTTTTCTTCTATGTTGAGCATTTTTCATGAAAATTCCAAGGAATGATGTTGATTGGTCCTCTATTAAAACATGAAATAGGAGAGAAGATTTTGAAACACAGCTACAGAGGTACATGATTTGAGAATTTCACCATAGATTTGATTTGATTTGAAGAGGTGGATTATCTTATGCTCCATAATTTTATACCTACTGAAATGAGGGTATTTGAAGGAAACTGAACAGAAAATAGACTCAGTTGGAATAAAAAAACAAAGATATATTTACAGACAAAATAGAACAAAAACTATATTCAAACTATTACCTTACCATATAAAACAATAACTTCTGCTCCTTTAGGACTTTTCCTCTTTTTCTTCTGGTTGCGTCTCTTTTGCTTTCAAACTTTGCTCATACAATTTAATTAACGATTTGCGCCTTCTCCAAGCCGTCATGTACGTTCTGGGATGAACAGGGAAGAAACCAGCTAACCCTGTAGGAAAAAACCAAAATGTCAATAGAGACAGGATCGAAAAAGCATGAATCTTCCTACCAATCTAGAGCAATTGTATATATATTAGTAATAAGATTAACAAAGGAACTTCAGTTTTGTAAAGAAAAAAAAGAGAAAATTAATGAATTAAAATCGAGGAAGAAAATACTCTGGGATGATGGCTTACTCTTTGCTTATTCCTTTTCGAAGAACTCTAACCAGCTATTCAAGGATTTTTAGCTGGATTGAGTTTTGCAGAAACGCACCAAAGTCGTCAAAGGAAAAAAATGAGTCAAGAGTAGGCTTGACCCCAACAAGTTATAAATTTCTGCTGGCAAAAATTCAGGTGACAATAAACATATCGAACGTGAAAGTAGTCGATAAACTTTATCCTTGACATTGAGTCTAATGGAGGGATAAAACTTCAAACTCGAATCTCTCTTCCTCATTTCAAACTTGATTCCACTTGGTACATTTCTGTTAAACTTCGTCCAACTATAAATTTGAAGACTTCAAAACTTTTGTGGAAGTTTCTCAAAAATATTCAGGTGCATTTCTAACAAAATAATATTCAGATTTTGATTTTTCTTTCCATACTGAGCACAATAGAAAGAGTACAAGATTTTCAAATACCTATTCTCACTGTAGAAAAATGTTTATTTAGCTAACAATTAAAAATGAATGTAACCATTCACACTGACCAAATAATTCCGCAGCAGGCCTGGACGTTCGACCACCATCAGCTATCCAGTACTTGACACGATCATAGTTGATGGAAACTAGTTTCTCGTTGAACATGTTCGGCATTGGATCATAGCTTCCAAGTTGCTCTATTGGTTGCTGTTTCATTCTGTCTGTTTTCTATGAAAGATATGAAAATAAAATGAGATTAAGAGGCAATTTCATTTAAAAGAAAAAGTAAAAAAGGGAGTGTTTCCTTGCTGTTTTGATTAAAATATTTTCAACATTATCACAAAGAAAACTAACAAATCGAAAAGATAGGCATTTTTAGCATAGAGACTGGGTCGAATTAAAATTCTCTGAAAAATCTAAAATGAATTTGCTGCATCATGGATGTGCTTTTTCCGATCATGGGTTTAGAGAGAAGTGGCATTGCAGTGCTCAAATATATTTTCCTTTGAAGCGCTCAAGTACAAATAACAATAAGTTCCCCTTTTTTAGTACGGCGATTACCCAAAATCATGTAGAAAGTGTGATTTAGAAGTACCATCTTAACTAGAGTAGCTTACATGCATAAAATTGCAAAGTTTGTATTAATTTAATCTGCACACCAATGCATTTCGACATGAGCGCCAACTTCAGGGTACAACTTATAACATCAAAGAAAATTAACAAAACACAGTAATAAAAATAACATGGTAAAAAAAATCCATAGTTAGAGAGAGGTGAGATGTGAGAAGGAAATGGCAATTCAATTGTCATTTGTATCTCACATCTCACCTCTCTCTCATTGGAGCTATGTAATTTGTTTACTGGAGGTGTTGTCAGATAAGTTGGCCATTGTTTGCTTTTGGGTTGCAAGCTCCTTAAAAACATCTGTCTCAAGATTGTATGGTTGTGATTTCTGTGACTCTAAACATTGGTGTGTTACAAGGTTTGAAGGTATTAAAAAACCTATCCAAGCTTGCTTTCTCACTTCTGAGAGAGTTAGATGATTTCATGTGGATAGTAGTGACGCGAAAACGCCCGCAAACTGAAAGTATACAATGGCCAACTTATCTGACAACACCTCTTCATTTTTATAATTACTGTTTTTCTGTAATTTTCTTTGCTCTTGTAAGTTGTACCCTGAAGATGGTACTCATGCCAAAATGCATTGGTATGTAGATTAAATTAAAAAAATTTTGTAATGCCCTTGGCAAGTCATATCTGAGAGATGCAATTACGCAGAATTACGAGAAAAAACCATCTAAGTACGCTTCAAAAACTGTCAATTATTGAGTATTCAATATTGAGGTGGAAATAATTAGACACAGAGAGATTGATAAAAATTTCTGAAATGAATGTTTTTGGTTCGTAACTCCTTCCATTCCAAGTACCTCTAGAGAATAAATGGTGATTAGCAGCCTGGTGCAAGCAAGTTATACATTTAATTCAACTCCTCAATTGCGCTGATGGGTGTTTCTCTTCAAAAATATAGGATTACTTTACGGAGAGAAACATGCATACTTCTCCCGAAAATCTAACTTAACAATCTTGAGAACAGGACATGGTACGGGGGAAGACAGAGAGTCATCTCCTGTTTTCTGACACTTTTCTTGTATATTTGCTAGCTGAAACATTTGCGGATGCCTCTGAGCTAAATGATTGTTGATGATACTGATTATTACTTACGGTGTGCACGTTGATGTGAAAAAACGGTCTGTTCGTACATCCCTTCAGAGCAAGGCGGATGGATTTTTGAATTGTCGGAATGTTTACTCCACCACCAGCTGCTGGCAATAATTTATTCACCCATTTTCTGACCATAATTTATTGACCTTGAGAGTACTAAACACACGAAAATTATCAACTTTAATTGGATTCTTTCGGCGTGATTGTTAGAAATACATAACAACTGTATCCTTCGGTACCGGAGGAAGGAAGGACATGAAAACAAAAATAAATAATAAAAAAATAATAACCTCAAAAACAATGAAAGCATGGCAAGCATTCTCTCTATTTTACGTCATTCTCTGCTATGATGACGCATTTGAATTTCACAGATTTTATTGGCTACAAATTTCTGATCGTTCAATCGCTGGCAGTCAAAATACACAGTTGTCATGTATCTGTTCATTTTTTTATACATCATAATGAATACACTGTGAAACACCTTCTACATGGCAACGTTCATACATGGCTGCTATAACCGGTGTCAGCGTTTTGATAAAGGTTTTTAACGGACTTTTCAACCAAATCATCTTCAGTTATCATTAATGATCTCTCCGATCGTAATCATTTACTTTAGCAATTTAATTTTAATTATAAAAGTGCTTTTTGGGATGTAGGCTCTTGAGTAATGTCTCTATTACAAATTTTAAATGATGGAAGCTTACTTGCCTGTTTGATTTTGATAATGTGAGGAGTGTTGAGTCCTGTTTCATGTGTTTTTGTTCCTGTGCTTAAATACATTGATAAAATGTGTTACAATGGACGGAAGAAATAGCTGATTAAGAAACTTAATCGTAAAGTGTGAGTACTTTCGTTTTAATCTTTGATCGTTTCCTTTGAAATTTTAAGTTTGAATGCTGCCATGACCAGAGATTGATAGTAGGTAAACAAAACAAAGCATTCAAGGCGCAATGACTGAGTTTCACTCTGAGCCCTGGTTCATCATTTTTGTGTAATTACTAGTTTACAATGGCCATTGCTAATGAATGAGATATTTGTTGTTGTTGAAGTCACGGACTGCAAGCTACTTATATGCACACTGGGTCTGCCTCTCAAACTAAGCATGTTTTGGAGGGAAAATGTTTACATGTTTTGAACAGCCCTCTTTTACTTCTCAGCCAATTTTTTCAGCAAGCTATGATTGTCTGTAGCATTATTTTGTTGTTCTGAAGGTGAGCAGAGCCTAATTTGAGCTAGAGTGCGTGGGTCAATGATAGTCGCTGATGGTCGACGTTACAGGCTATTATTGTCAATCTACCAGGTGCAGAAACTTCCCGAAATTGTGAGCGCGCTCGCATGGCTGCCTAAAGAATGAGAAGGCTAGGAAAATTGGGCAGGCACTCTTGCCCCAAAACTGCTGTAGATGCAAAAGTTGAGTGTTTCTCCAAGAATCGCAGTGAAATCTGTGTGTTTTTGTTCAAAATCGCAGCAATTTGTGAATATGAGCCTTACAGAAGGTTGCACCAGCTTTAAAATTTTTGGAAAATAAGAGTGTCCAAAGTAGGAAGGACTGTTCACCAAATGGGAAGTCTAAGAATTCTTTTCACCCTTTTTAAAACAGTTTTAAGCATGCCCCACAGTGAGCTGCGCTCTAATGCCCTGACTCACAGAACTCCAACTGAGACCTTTAATTAATTCAACAAGAACTAAAGTATTTTACCATATACTTTGTATCTTTGTAAACTTTATTTGAGAGGAGTTAAACTCCTGTTTAAGGTAACAACTTCAGCAGTAATCTTACTGTACCAATCTCTACACAGTAAAACTGGCTAAATGATCTGCCATAGACTGTTCACGTAAGTAAAAAATAGATTAGTCTCTTAGTGAGTGGTGTTATTTTCGGAAGGTTGCTTTTGCAACAATTGAAAACCTGCTCATCATATTGCAGGTACTTGAAAAAAAGAAACCCAAAGAATTTTGTTGCCTTCTTCCTAATGTAGATTTCTCCTTTTTACAGATTTAAAAAAATATCAAAATGGCGCCAGAGCCACTGGATATCTCGGAGCATGAGTTGCTCTTCAAAGCAACCGATTTATCCAAACTGGCCTCCATAGATTTGTCTCAGGTATGAGCTATAAATATTTTTCATCGAGTAAAATCATTTTGTAAATCAATGAGAACTGGAATAATTTTTTTATTACAATTAGCTCGTATTTTTTCTGTTCTATTTTTCTTATATTTTAGTTCAAAACCTGTCAAAGATCTCTCATGAAACTTTGCAAGCTCAAGAAATTAATTTCAAATTCTGAGTATTGCATTTTAAATTGACAAGTTCTTTTAAACAACCACTTACAGCTTGGAATAATGACCAAGATTATGCATACTGATGCATTGTATATAATGGAAAGATGTCCCTTAATTTTTTTAGTCCTTCCTTTTTTCACCAACACTCTGTAATCTTCTTAATACAACTTTTATTTGAGAGCATTGTGTTTTTATGGACAATAAATTCAGTTAAAAGTGTGAACAAAGTTATGTCGAAGCTGTATATCGATGACCAAAGTGAGAAATCATGTATCTCCATGGTAATGATTCAAAGCAGAGCAAGCCAACTTTATGACTTGAAATGTGTTTAAGGTGATTCGATGGATGCCATATTTTGTGTCAGAGCGGCATGCGATATATCGCATCAATTGGCTCCATTTTTTCGGTTACTCGTCATTTTTCTCCAATTTTGAGATCGCAATTCTGTTCTCCGGAGACTAAAGCACTCACTTACCAATTTCAACAGAGAAATTCAACGTAATAAATGCGTGGTTTTTTTAGAGAGAAAATGTCGCATTCGATACTGATATCAAAACTGCACTCGAATGCGATATTTTCTCTCTAAAAAAACCATGCCTATATTACGTTGAATTTCTTTGTAAAAATTGGTAAGTGAGTGATTAAGTCTCCTGACAACAGAATTGCGATCTCAAAATTGGAGAAAAATGACGAGAAGGTGAAAAAATGGAACCAATTGATGCGATATATCGCATGCCGTTCTGACACAAAATATGGCGTTCTTCGAATCACCTTAAAGTATTCTGCTAATTTTAAGAGTGAAGCAAAATTAAGGAAACTTTCCAGAAGTTATGATGAGGAAGTTTCGGAAGAAAGTTTGTCAGGAAGTCTGCAACGTGCAAATAGAGATACCTGGTTTTGCTCTCAGGTCATCGCCATAGTTCTTTTACAACAACTTTTCACCACCATATTCCAACATATGAATTGCATTTCATCATCAAAAGAAATTATTAAATAGTTAAAATAAAAAGATTCACCCTGATTTTCAAGATTAAAGTTTCCATTTGACCGGTACATTTTTCAAAAAAAAAAAAAAAATCTAACCTTGTGAATGAATGCTCTTAAAAGAAATATTTGGATTTCATTTAAAATGAAGGAAATAATTTCAAAACTAATTTTGCACCAGTGGAAATTATAATCATATCTTTGTCAGTCCAACCATTTGTATCATTCAAATTTAAACTGGAGGTTGATAAGCTCTCAGTGATAAGATTTACATTCTTCTAATGCATTGTTGTGAAACTTCTTCCTGCTCATTATCCAAAGGAGGTTGAAAAAAAGAACCCAGCTGTTATTCATGCTGAATTGATGTCTGTCTTGTTTTCCAGATTTTTGCTTTTTAATGTTTGCCAAACTGAAGCAGAGAAATTTTACAAGGTATTAAGTGAAAATTCGGTGTCAAGTTCCGGGAAAAAGCCTTCATGGTGACTGATTTTTCTGGAACTCACCATCCCTTGAATTCGCAACTTGGCTGCGCAAATTTACATGTTCATTTTTGAAGACACCTCAGAAGAGCGGTCCTGTGTTCCATTTTCTACTTTGTGGTTCCATAAGAATGTGGTTACTTAGTGTGTTGGTGACTGAACATTTAAATTTATTGCAGTCATCCACAATTTGATGTAAAAAAAAAGTTTTACAGAATAAGGGAAAATCTTATCAAGGCACTTATGAGGTGCGCCCTAAAAGCCTGTAAGAGAAACAAAATGTATTTAGGTATGACAAAGCTGAGAAAAAATGATATATACCTACTTATTTTGCTTATCTGGTCAAATACATTTTTCAGTACCTGGAGGCATACATGAGGAATATTAGAAACCTCTACAATAACTCCTCAGCAGTAAAAGAAATGAATTTTGCTGAAGCTGCGATGGTGATTCAGAATTCATCGATTATCTTTGCCAAGAATGTCGACTCAATTTGGGCAAGAGCTATGAACATACGGCTTGCTTTATCTGCTAACATGAAGTAAGTGATCAAAGTATTTTTCAGGGTCTTTACTCTTTCAATAGGCGCTAGATGAATATTTGCCATGTACATCCCACAAACCAAGTTAGGAAAAACACATTGGCAAAACATGGCACTCTGAGGCGCTTTAAGGCCCTCTCTCACGCATAGATGTGTCCGCCATCTGTCATGAGTATGATGCAATTGTGGTTCATATCTTTACCAACAGAAAGTATATGAAGCCATGTATGCATAGACAGCGGATGTCAAGTTTTTAAGCTTTTAAGTTTTGAGGAAATGGCGTTCAAAGTTTTCAAAGCTGTGCACTTTTGCGTCTGTACAGCAAAAAGGGTTTGGCCAAGGAAATCATTTTAGACAAAAAAGCAAATCTTTTTCTAAAAAATGAGCTCTAGGAGTTTAAATTTAAAGCAAATTCAATGGAAGGGCTTCGGAGACAAGGGGGATGAGTGCAGTTTTTGAAAAGTTTGAGATATTAATGATTTAAACTAGAACTAGTCGTAGAATATATTCTGTAAAAAAGCCACAACCAAAATCCAATTTTTAAGCATTATAAACTGAGTTTGAATTTTCTCTCCGCCATAAGGCCCCATCCTACTTTGCACTATAAAACCTACTCTTGAAGTACCAAAAACTGCTCATAGCCCACTTGTCATCCAAAGCCTTTAATTGAAATCCAGTGATTTTAAAAAAATGACCACATCTCCGGTTTTTACGTAAAACCATTTTTAATAAGACATAAAATAAACTACTTATCTAATGTAAAAAAGGTTAAGTGCTTTATATGTATGAATCAATGTATGATAACTGTCCAGTTTTTTAATGATTTTTCTAAGGAACTTAGCGTTTGGTAACTTTCAAAGTGGAAACAAGAGTCAAATTATATTATTGATCTTCTAAAAGAGGGGAAAAATTGGAGAGGCTGCCACCAGGGTGCGGCTTAAACGACCGAAAAATAAGAAAAGATGAAATTGAAGAAGGTCGGAGTGTCAATCGGTGATCGCATAGAGAAAAAATGAGTTTAAAAAATGTTGTGCAATATTGGATAATTTGAACCTGGTGCTCAAGTGGATTCAAATTTTTAATTTCTAGGATTTTCCCCCAACATTCCCCCATTTTTTGATGTGGCTAAAAATTCGAAATATGAAAAGGTCCGGTCTTGAACCATTTCATAAATTTATGAAAATAGGTTACTCAAAATTTGGCCAAATTTAGACAAATTTAACCTGATGCTCACATGGGTTCAACTTTTAGATAACACCGTCACTAGTTCTTCGTGAATTTGCAATCCTGCAAAAATACCTTGGCCTATGTAATTCTCCAATGACCTGAATGATTTTCAGGCTTTGGCAGAATGAAATAAGAATGAGAGAAAAATTCGAGTGCATAGGAGGAAAGAAGTAAAAAAGGCAATCACTGACAAAAAAAGCCATAGTCCCCCTACACACTCCCCTAATAAGGCTGAAAGCACAGTTTATTGTGACTGGTATATTGAAATTTATTGAAAGATTTATTCAACAAGCATGAAATCAATCTTGGCTATAGGTACCATTTTTATAATCGATGGCGATCAAATGCTAGTTTTTCAGGATGTGAGGGGATTCTTCTCCATAGTAAGATCATATTTAGACCGAATCCCTCGATTTGGTGGAAATCTATGAGATCTTTGCTACTATTTCAAGACAGGGAAAATTTTAGAAAAATTGGGCCTCTACTTTTTGAAGACTCTTTTTATAGTACCTACAGATAAGGAGAGCATAAAAATTAATTTGCCAAAGGATGTTTTTGTACCTGCAAGACAGCCTGTGCCAAAGTAGGAAATCATAATTTTTGACCACTTTAACTTAACATTCTTGATTTTCAACTCAATTTTCAACCCGAAACTCTTCATCTACCATAAAAAAAATTATTTGAAAATTGAAGATTCTATTTTTGCGTGTTTGCCGATTCACTCAAAAAAATTGGAGAGAATTGCTGAAATGTCTTTAAGAATCATGTTTTTCGACACTACATACGAGGAACTCCTCAGAGGTACAAATACATCTCTCGGTAGAATGATTCTTATGTAGGTATACCCTCTTAATCCACTAAAAGAAGAGTCCCTGAGAGACAAGGGACAAATTTTTGCTGCTTTGCAAAATCACTTAAAACAAGTGATGAAAAACAGAGACTCCCCTAATGGCAGGTAAGGAGAATTAGAATTATTTTGTCATAGGAAGTATTTTTGACTCCGAGGTGCCCGCACTTAGGTATGAAAACACAATTTTTAACAACTTTTCAGCAATTTTCATCAACTGTTTTGAGTGACTTTGCAAGGCAGCAAAAAGTTGACCGTAGAAGTAGTACCGAACGTGAGATATGAATCCAAAAATGAGAAATTCAGTCGATTTTTACCATGCACAGAAAAAAATTAAATTGTTAAAAAAGCGACTACAACGTCTCAACGCAGATTTTACAACAAAAAAATGCTACTTTAACCACTATTGTCAGCTAACTTAACCATGGGGGTGCTTAAAGTAGCATATTTTTGTAGTAAAATCTACATTGAAACATTGCAGTCACTTTTTTTAGCAATTAAATTGTTAGATCAGCAATTTAATTTTTTCCGTGTGTTCAAAAAGTGCGGTGAAATATGCAAAAACAGCTTGAATTATGTAATGCTTTATTGACTCAAACTGTAAACGCAGCACCTGATAATTTTCTTTTTTTCCCGGAAGAGTGCTACTCAGTTTGGTATCAAGATGGAACTTTTCCCCCTCTAAATAATTTTGGAATTTGAAAGTTAATGTTTTTGACACGCCGTCTGAGTGAGACGGATTTGTGATATGTAATGATCAGAAAGCCCCGCGACGCTGCTGATGATCTGTTCATATTTTTATATTATATATTTATACGTATATCATATACACAATACTTCAAAAACTCTTAAATGCTGTTCAAAATGAAACAAAATGATAAAGAGTGCCTTCTGACAGTAATTTTACTGCTCTATAAGTTCAAAAATGAACTCTTAGCGTCGCTCTGAGAAAAGTTATTCTTGAAAAAAGCGCAAGGAACGCGAAATTTGAAATTCGATGGTTTTTTCAGTGCGCTGTAGCAATTTTAATTTTAATCATATAGTAAAATTTACTCACAAAACATTTTTATTACAAAGTTTTCTCTTCAAAATGTAATTTACTTTAGGTACTTCTTGAATAACTTTTTTGGTCAGAAAATAAAAAATAAGCGAGGTATTTGCATTAAAAGGAATTTTAGACCATTTTTGGGCAATTTTTTTCAAATTGGTGGCTTCGGTGGTGGAAACATCTGTACACAAATTTAAAATTCCGATTCAGTGTCCAAAAACACATAAGAATCACTCAACAAAAAGTTTTCGGGAAATTTTCCCTAAGATCCCCTGTCTCACTCCCGATTGCCTCGACTGGAACCTGAAAATGACGCTCATGTGCTAACTTTGATAGGCTTGAGCATCGGGTTAAAATCGTCGCACAATCTTCGGCTCAAGTTGAAAGTTGTTTTTTAGGAAGAGGTCATCGATTGACGGGCGGATCCAATCGAATTTGAGACTTTCAAAAGTAAGCCGCACCCTAGGGTGCCATCCCACAGATACTTATATACAACAGGTCTTATTTATTACTAGGCACTTTAATGTGCTCATACACAGTATCATCAAGGAGATCAATGAGCTTGGTTAAGATGAACAGCAAATTCTGACGTCTGCTTTTTTTTAGACATAACATGGTTTCTTATTCATATCTTAATGGAAAATTATGCAAGAAGTCTGAAACTTGGCAGCAACTCTTGAAGGTTTATGGATTCCATAAAAGTGTCATCTCTAAAAATGGCGTTGTTCAGTATCCGCTGTTTATACAGATATGGCTTTATATATTACATATAATATTATATTTGTATGTTCGGACTCTAAAGCGAAAATACAAGGGCCAAATAAGTTAGCCTGTCCATGGTTCAAAGAATGCGCAATGCACAAACTGGTGGATAGATTAACGCAATGGTTTTATCGAAAGGGTTAAATTAAAAACACAGTGTTCCTCGAGAATTTAGTTAATTCTAATTCATGTTTTGTTACATTTGTCGAGGATACTTGTTAAGCTCATATTTATTCTTTTCAGCCGGAAAAAAAGTAACGATGATGAAGACGATGAGGATTGTGATGTAGGAACTGGCGAAGAAGGTGCTGATAAGCAAAAAGAAAAAGCAAAAAAGAAGAAAAAGAGAACGTTCAATGTTGAAGAATTTAAACTCCTTCCTTTTCTTAATACTGGTGAGTGTGAAATTGTCCAACATGTAATCCTTTAACCAAAATTTGGAAATACTTCTTGAAGCTCCCTTGACTTAAGATCATTAACAAAGAAAATTTCAAGGTGTATCACTAATTCTAGCCTCTGTCTTCAGGGTTACATGAAGTAAGGGTGCTAAAAATACCTTATCTGCAAATCGCACCAAACAAGGCAAATCTTGGGTTGTAGGGCAGCTTGAGGGAGTGATGACCCCTATTTTTCTCTCTTTTTAGCCCTTGCTGAGTTTTCGAAAGTCTAGAAAACCTGTAAATTCAGAGAATTTACAGTCACCCAGAAAAGTCAGGAATTTAGGGAACTTCTGAAAAATATCGGAATATTGCGAATAGCGTATCTGCTCAGCAACTTCAGCTGGTGCCACTCAAGAGCGAGGGAACAATTTCGTAGTGTCCTTTGCTTTCAATTAACTGATCAAATTTTCTATCATTCCATGAGTCCAACTGTCTATTCATTGGCCCGTTAGATTAACCAGTCAAATTGTTTTTTGATCATCCAATCAAATTTTCTGTCAATGAGTTGGATCATCTGTTTCATTGACTAAAAGTCTCTCCATTGAGTAGGCAAATCATTCATTTGTCTATGGACCATTCAAATCCTCTTTTGATCAATCAGTTGAATCTTCTTTCGATCAATAAGTCAAATTTTCTATCAATGGAACTTCCTATCCTAATCAGTTTGCCCTGTTTTTTTATTTTTCAGATAAAAATATTGATATGAAACTTGACAAGAAAGAGGATAAACTAGCAAAGCAATCAGATAAACTTGTCCTTCCCACCTCCTTGCGAATCAAAAGTAAGGTTAATAAATCGAGAGATATTTTCACACCTGAAGGAGAAGCAGTCGGGAAAATGGATGAATTCAGGTATGGACTATCGTTTTTCCTTCAACACCATTTTTTATTTTTAATAGTAAATGTGTCTATTATTTCAGGACAGCCACCGTTCATATAAATATCACGGAAAATTAGGAAAATCTATCATGAATCAGAAAATTCCGAGTGTGTCAAGCATTCTTCAAGTATCTGCAGTTTAGCACCTGAAAAAGTGAAACATGTAAATATTCCGTTCATCACATATGTTGGTTTTTAAAATTTGACAAGTATCGATTCATTCAGGTAAAAAATCAGGAAAATCCAAAATGTAATTTTAGCTCATGGTGTCTAGTGATTTAAAAACCGGGATTCATCAGGGAATAAAAATTTACCAGGAAAATCAGGGAATCTGCTCCAGAAACGGGAAATCTCTTCTCCAACCAACCAGGGATCATTTCGTTTTAAATTTGGCGGTCTAATCTGACCGAGCGATATTCAGCTTTCGGCAATTATCGCGCATACACAGTTGGAAATTCGCATCAATGACCCGAACTTGCATCTTCAATTGGGCTTCGAGAAATTTCTCCAAATCTCCACTCATCCGACTCATTATATTCTTTTCCCCAAGAAAATTCCGGGAAAGTGAAAGAAAACTTCAGTTTCTCATCAGGGAATGAGCTCCTGAAAATCAGGGAATGAGCTTTGCCAAGAAAATTAGGCTGTTTTACCTGATACATTGTTTTTCGTCAAAGTCTCACAAAACGTTGATATTCTGATAACTCCGCAGGAAATAGTCAAACTTAATCTAAATACATCTTTTATCATACATTTTTTCAACGAATCTCCAGGGTTTTTGGCGTTCTAGAAAACCTGAAAAGTCTAAGACTTCGGCAAGTAGTGCATCAGCTCAGCAACTGCAGCCGGTACTATTTTTAGAGAGCAAGGACAACTTTCAAGTGCCTTTTTTTATAATTAAAATCTGAGCGGAGATTTCATGCAAAATTTAACAGCAGTCAGCGTAATTCAAAGGAAAAAATCTAAGAGGTAGTTTTGTCCAAAGATCAGGGAAAAGCAGGAAATCAAAAAATTCTGGAGTCAGGAAAAAGCCCAAAAAGTCAGGAAAATGAAGCAGTAATGAGACCCCTTTCCACAAAATCATTGAGCCTCTCGGTTCCTCGATTTTTAATTTACAGTTTTGTGAGAGTTAATAGATGTTATTATTGACACCTAAACTATGTTAACAAATCTCCTGCTCTTCTCCAGGTCGTTTTATTTATTTTTTTTTCTTTCTTGCTTTTTTTTTAAAAAGTAATTCTCCCAGATTAGTTTGTTCATTGAAAGACTTTGACGATTCTAAAGAAAATCACATTCATAAGTTTTCACCTTTCAGCTCAGATTTTTCCAAATATTGTCTCTATTTATTGTTCAAGTCAGACACATCAAAATTCCCGAAGCAATCCGTAATTGTTTGTCTTTAGGGTCGATTACCTAGTTCATTTTATTATGCTCCACCTCTTTTTTTCCCAGATTATTTTGGCCCATTACAAAAAGCGGTTATTTACAAGAAGATTATGAACCTGATGATCGGTGTGTGTTTCCTGAAAGAATCATCGAACAAAGTTTTACAGGTACAAAATACGTTTGTATCCCTTGAACAGTCGAATCAATCATGATAAAAACAATTTATCTCCTCTTACGCAAAAACTGTTCCACGCACCTATTTTAATGTCAAATCTTGAAATCATCAAATCTTCGAAGTTTGACCTTTGAGAACTTAAAAACTCTTCTGAGCAGATAATAAAATGAAAATTAGTAAATTCCTTTAGAGTTGTAAGGAAATGTTTAGGTTAAAGATTCAGGTTGTTTTTTATGTAGCTGATTTTTCTGTGTAATTTTGATCTTGAACTATAGGCTTGAAATAAAATATTTTAAGGTAGATGTTCAATCATTGAAGATGAGTGATTTGCCTCTCATTTAGTTTTCTCAAGAATTAAACGCGGTGCATTTTACTTTTTCCGAGTACGATTGTATCAAAGTTTGGCTGCAATTATGTCCATTCACAGTAGCGCGGTGTCATGTAAAGTTCATTTTTGCAACTGTTGAACTCACAAGATTTCTCAGAAAAAAAAAAGAAAAAAAATGTATGATACATTGAACACAAGTATAAAGAAGGCGGTGAGTGCCTCCACAAATAATGTTCAATATTATGCATTTTTTTAAAGCATTTTTTCCGCATTTTCACTCTTCTATTTATTATGAAGCCTACATTAACAAAACCCTCTGATTTTACTGAGATCAGAGGCCAATAATCTTATGTGGAAAAGTGTTTATACCAACCTGATAAACATTCCCGTCTTAATCTAATTATTAGTCACCCTGATTTTTGAAAAAACATCAGTGAAGGTTGCCAATATACCGTTATGCAAAGTAGCAAAATATTTAGGAATTACGTTAGATACCATACTTAAATGGAAACATCATATTAAACTCAAAAAGAAGGAATGCAATTTTAAAACTTTTAGATCAAACTGGTTACTAGGTAAGAAGTCCTCCCTTTCTTTAGATAATAAGATTTTACCTCATGAACAAATCATAAGACCCACATGGGCATATGGTTGTCAAATTTGGGGCTGCGCCACCAAATCTAGTTAAAAATTATTGTAATAAATGCAGTCAAAAACTTGAAAACAATCGTGTGGTGCCGAAAGATATGAAACCAATAGAGACATTCACAAGGACCCAGGTATAGAATCTATTTATAAATATATTCAGAAAATCTCACAAAGGTACGAAGACAGGCTTCATCGCCACCCCAACGAAACAGCGATTGAGTTACTAAATAATCTAATAGAGGTTAGAAGACTTAAAAAGAAGAAACCTCGGGAACTTGTCACCAGCCCTGACACTGATTTCTAAGACAAAATTAATTTTAGGATCAAATTATTTACGTCAACTCATCTCATCTGAAACTCACTCATTAATCCACTGAATCTTTGTAAATGTCTTTACTGATTCTGAGTCCTAAACTTGTAATATTTAAAATTATATAATTGACTAACTGTAGCTAGTCAGTTATTTTACCACTTTCTTTCTTAACTCTTATGATATTAAGTAATTAATCTGTTGTTACTTCTACATACATTACTTATAATTTAAGCTAATTGTATATATTTCCTGTATTGGAAGCTTACAATAAAATAAATCTTTTAAAAAAAAGGAGGAAAAAAGGTTGCCAATTCTTTTCTACCGTGAATGGTAGAAACAATCCGACAAAAATTGATTCATAATTTTTCATCACCTAAGCACAAGATTATTTGATTATTGAGATAAAAAAGAAAAATGAAATGTTTGATCTTTTTTTTTTATCTGAAAAATCTGTGTTGTAATTAAAATTTCTCCTCTATAAATTCCTAGCGTATTTCCAGATTCTAGGAATTTCTAGTCTAGGTTGTGTCCCTTTTCATGTCCTCACAATGTCAATAAAAATAAATTAATAATTTTTGTACGACTTTTTTAGAGGCTGCGGAGCATCCTGTTAATGAGGAAATTTTCAATAATGACATGGATCACTCGATGATGGATGGACACAATCCTCTGTCCCCGCCTCCACCAACACCACCACCAACCCCTCCGCCTATGGACCTCCCCATGAACGACTCGCCTGAAAGTTTAAAAGATACTCAAGAAGAAACTGAAAAAGAACGCGAGTGTCGGCAGAAGTAAGTATAAAACGCTGTATGAACTTTCAGGTGTGGGCAAACTTTCTTCAATAAAACATGAATTTATTGGAAAAGCTGTATTTATTTTTCTTCCAAATTTTCTGACATTAATGTTCGCAAGTAAATGCAAAATATCTGAGACACCAAGGAAAAATATGCATAGTTTTCCACCTAAATTATGTTTTTTTTGGAAAAAATTAGCAGCATTTAAATGTTCTTATGGCAATTTTCCATAGCACGGCATGAGAAAATAGAATGGTTTGACTTTGACGCCAGAAACTTAGGAAGAATATTTTTGAAAACAGTTAGGTATATTTTTCCTAAAATTTGAGGAGTTTTGATGGCGAATCTGCTTTTTATTGTATTTATTTTGATTTATTTTCCTCTGGTCAAATTTTTTATTTATTTATTTATTTTTTTTTTTATTGCCATCTATTGAAGCTTTTCTTCCGTTTTTTGATTTTTGTAATTTTCTTCATAAAAACTTTGTATAATTATCAGTAATCTCCATAATATGCATGGTTTTCTTGATGAGACCAAGAATTTCATGAAAATAATGATCAAAACACCCAGCTGGATCATAAGCGTAAAAATATTATTTTTATCTTACATTGATGAGCTTGTTTCAAAAAGTCTTTTTTAAAAAGTTAGCAAGACTTGTCATGATAAATATTTTTCTCAGTAATGGATAAATCTTTCACTCTCTGATTTTACTGTAGACTTTTTTCCTTTTGAAAAACTACAGCCATTTCAGGCTTGTACCCATTGTCAGGTTTTTAAAAAAAAAAAAATAAAAATAAAAACGCAATCCCGAATTATTTGCATTTTTTGCTTTATAACATGACAATGTGCCCAAGTTTAAAATAGCTGCAGTTATTCTAAAGGAAAAAATTCTTCAGTAAAATCAGAAAGAATTTATCCATTTCTAAATTAACAGTGCCTATCAACTCAAATCATGATTTAATGAGTTCTTCACTCAATCTGTTTTCAGATTACAAAAAAATCCAGAGCGAGAAAACATTGTGTCCCTAGATAAAGTTATAGCAAAAGCGTGGGAACCCATCCCTTTGGACAAAGGCAATCCGAATCGGCCTTTGGTAAAACGAAGAGTATACAAGTTGGATACAAGTGATTCGTCTAGTTCGGTAAGTACTACATTTCTGAATTTCTTTTCCATTTTTCTCTCTCTGACTTCTTCTACATTAATTGTAATATCTATAGGATTGTGATGCACATGATTTTGGTACCTTTTTATAGCTTCTAAAGGTCATTTTTAGGAGCAAAAAATAACTTAAAAAATTGGGTTTGGTTCATCTGTGGATTGACTGATGTAATTTGATGCAGGACCACAAAATTCATGTAAAATTATTTTTGTTTTCATAATTGTATATTTCTTTTTTAATACCTTCAAAAACACTTGCAGTTTTCTATAGATGAATAAAATTTCACAAATATTGACTCATCAGATAATCATGAGGTGGCAGGTCTTATGATTTATGAAATTCCACCAAATTAACTAATGCGCAATTACTTGAACATTCAAGCAACGACAATGGCTGAAATAAACTTCTAAACAAAATTTATCAGTGTTTTTAAATGGCATTGGTCACAAAAATTTTCTCGTTCACAAGAAAAACAAGAGTTTACTTGAATCAAATTGGGCTTTGTACACAAGTTTTTGTAGGCTTCTTAACTAAGCAGCTTTCCTTCTTCGCCCTGCATTTTCAAAGTGTAAACAGCGTCCAACAGCTAAGCCTTAACTCCGAGATTGAGATTCGTGTATGTTCATACCTCTGAGACTGTGAAAGTAATGTTTAGTGTGCAACTTATCTCAAATAGATCATGGTTTTCCTATGAGTGGGAAGTTTGAATACGCATATTGAAAAACGTCAATGTCTTGATAAGGAGTTACCTTTAATAATAGTTCTACATGAGATTTTGATGAGAAAGCGTGTGCTACAATGTGCAAATTTGCATTTCGTCTTTTTAGGGGTCGGTCCATTAAAATATTACTCAGTGGAATAAGTATTTTCCTCAATTATTTCCAGCATAACAAAAAAGTGACAAGGAAACTTCCATGCAATGATGATCCTCATTTTTACGGTGTATTGTCTTGAACATTATCTGTACCAGCAAAAAATTTTCTCACTCATCTTCGTCATTTATCATAAGTTGATTTCATTCTGTGTTCTACAGAGAAAAAAGAAGAATAGAGGAAAGACAGATACAGAGTCAGAAACGTTTATTGTGTCAGAAATGTTCACAAAGGGTAAATATTATCTTAACAAAGGCCACGGGTTTGATCCATGGGTTCTAGCAGAATTCCACGCGGTACAGATGAAAAGACTGAAAGACGCTCCCAACAGGAAGAGAAAAATATTAGGTAAGTGAAACCATCTCTGAAAATAAGAGTTTTAATTATCTGCAGAAAAAGCAAAAGTGACCTTTGTCCACAATAATTCAAAATTGAGGTGCAGTATACAAAAATGGTCTTTGGTGCTGAGGATCCTTTTTGTGGAAAACAGAGTAACTGATTCTCATAATTGATTGTTAAAAATTTCAAAACTAATAATCCTCAATAACAGAAACAAAAAAGAAAAAAATATGGTCAGGCCAAAAATCTTGGTTGGATCTAATTTGAATACTGGAATCCAAAACATTCTCTTAAGGTAATTGTACTCAGTTTTCACTCATGCTTCGATCCTTTTTTGTTACAAGTTACAGTAAGTAGTCTTTCTTTTCTTTCTGATAGATTGAAAAAAATCACTTTAATTTGTCTGTCAAGAGTGTCTTGATGGATTGATCGAATATGATTCGGAAATTAGGGTTGCGAGTTCTTGAAAAGTCATTGAAAACCTGAAAAAGTAGGGGAATTTTGCTGCAGACTCCTGATTTCTTTCTTTCGATGGCAACATTTAATTATTTTCTATCACAACTGCAAGCTCCATTGTGGAAATTAGAACTTTGGCCCTAAAATGCTTGAATTTTGAATTTTTTCAATTTTCGAAAACTTAACGAGAGAAACCTTTTGGTGAAAGCATTTTTATAAGAAGCTCTAGAAATAAAAGCATTGAAAATGCATGAAAAAGTCAGGGAATTTCTAAACTCCAGAGAATGTGACACTCGTGTAATTGAAGATCTTGTGCATTTTTATACGTTTTTAAAAATTAATTCAACTATTTTGTCTTTTCCTCTGTTTTAGAAATGTTAGATGCTGCTTCAGAGTATGAAGGAGGTGAGTTTTTTCTTTTGTCAACCATTTTTCTAAACACTGATCAAGTTCGAAAGGTGATTTGTCTTTTCCCGGACATAGGAACGTAACTTTATTCTAAGGTTGCAAAATTGAGTCAAATAACTTGATTCTTTACAATAATAGAATAGAGAATTTGCAGGTTTCTGAAATTTGATGAATTTCGTGTTTAAATGGAAACTACTGAGTGAACTGAATGCAAGGATACCCTTGCTTTGTGAATTGAACAATAATCTGAGAAGATATGACAAAATGATCTAATCTGCCAAAATATGTGTGTTTAAATAGGAAATGCTGCCGGGTGTCGTCACTAAGCGGTGAATTTTTTCACTTTTAAATCTATTTTTATACTATTTTCCATACCAGAAAAAATTATAAGAAATACTATTAAATCAGCTCTTTAAGTTCTTTCAGATGAAGCAATAAAAAATTTGTGTGCAAATTCTCCATCGTGCAATTTCTGTTCAAAACTTTGCTGATTTTAACGTGCGCTCTGTAGAAAAAGTAGTGAAATTTTCAGTCAGAAATGTCTAATATTTTTCCAGTTAAAATGAATTTGATGAGTGGAAATTTTGTAGAGATCAAATGAAATTACTTTCTCTGTATGGGGAACAACGAATTGTTTGGGTGTGAATTCCTTGGGCGACAACTCTGTAGTTCTCTTTACATGATTGAAGTACTGAAAATTTTTGAGGAATAAAGTAAAGCTCTTCGATCTGAGTGGATTTTGAATGAGTTCCATTTTGATCCAGTTTTTTGTGTATTTGATCTTGTATATTTTGTAGCAGCAAGTTTTTATAAACATAAGGCTCATCAAACACATGAAGTAAGATAGTTTTTATTTTTGTTTGTTTGGTTTTCTTTCTTTTTTTTGACGCTCTGGAGGTTACCGTCCTTGAAAAAATTAATCTTATCAGCTGAAATGAAAATGGCGTCTCTGATAATTTTTTACTTTGCAAGCTCCAACATGATTCAGAACAAAGGTCTGAACTATTTTTTATTTTTTGAACTAATATCGTTTAAAATTTTAGTCTAATTTTGCTTTCAGGTTATTCGATAAACTTATCATATGAATTAATTCTGAATTTAATTTTTTCCCCCAGATTTTTATGGTTTTGACGATACTGAAATTGATGGTGGCGCAGGTATGTACCTGTTTTTATTTCAAATTATTTTGAATCCGTCACACTTATTATTATTTATTCTTGTTAATGTGAACTGGCTTTTATCCTTTAAGTCTCAGACTTCAAAATATCGATTTTTAACTATGATCAATCTTAGTTTATCAAGTGAAAGTTTCGCTCCACCCTTTAATAAGGAAATGGAGGTTTCAATAGAAGTAATTGCTAGAGAAAGATGAAACCTAGCGTTTGGGGGAAATTCCCCCAAATTTCGTTGGAGTTAGAGAAGGATTGAAAGGGGGGGTTGGAGCCGGTGCCATTCAGAAGAGCTTGATTAACTTCCGAGTTTCTTTTCCATAATTTGAACTGCCAGAAGTGGATATTTTGTCCACAGTTTGTCAGAAATCAGCATAAGAAAAGGGTAGAAAATCTCTAAGTGGAGGGTTTGATTGAAAGTCAGAGAAAGTCTGGAGATCAAGAAATGAAAAGATCATGGAAATCCTGCTTGTGTCAATAAAAGAGGGTTCTATAAAATTGTATACCTAAAACTTCTGCTTAGGTATTCCTAAACCTTTATGTGTTTAAAATTGCGGTATAAAGAGGAACAATGCATTTTTACCATACTATTTTTGTTGTGGGTATTGAGAGTGCACCTCTCCAATAGTTTACAATATCAACTTTTTAAGAATGCTTAGTATTTTCTAATGATTGCATCTGCACAGATTTTGGGGATGACGACGATGATGGTGATAACAATCATCAAGATAATAATGTTGAAAATATTGAAGTTCCTCTGCCGGCTCACGACAATGCAGGGACCATTTTCGATGGCATCGGACCGAGTATTTGGAATGAAAACGCAGATGAACCTGTTGACGCTGGTGATCAGTATGAAGCTCATGCCCTCCGAACTATTCAGCAATATAATGCAAACAAAACATTAGATGTGAGTGATCTTATCTTCAACCTTTTTTTCAACATCCAAAAATTGAAGTGAAAGTTTCTACTGCAAATTTTCGTACCGATGATTCATTTAACAATTTTATGAAAGAAGTAGAATGTGGCTTGGGTACCAATAATTTACAAAAGCTGGTGAGAATGATAAGGATTCAGACTCCTAAAAGTGGAGGTAAGGGCAACAAGAAAACAGGAGTGAAAAATGCATAAGACGTTGCCTCTCTGATATGAAAGGCATATCTCTATTTCCACATGAGCGGTGAAAAGCATTGAATTTTTTGGAGAACAGACTTCTGTTAAAATTGAGTGTGCTCTCATGCAGAGGAGCTACAAATTATGTGGACCAAAAAAAAAATATTCATTCACAATACAAAGAGCAACAATCAATCGCGGAAAAAAGAACAAATGAGCAAAAACGCATTGCAAAGAGAAATTTTGAAAGAAATTGAAGCAATAAAATCAACTATGAAATCTGCTAGTAGTAACCAGCCATGCTCATTTAATAGCTGCTTAATGAATTTTTAGACAAAAAGCCTAACTAAGTGCTGTATTTTTTTACACAAAAAATTTTCATGAAGTGCCAATTTTTAACCCTCATTTCTTGAAAATCTCCCAATTTCAGCGATGAAAGGAAGGTAGATCAAAGTGTCAAGTAATCTTGGAAGGAAAAGAAGGAAGTATCTTTAATTGCTTTATTAGGCAAACACCTTGCGAACAGCTCCATATCAGAAATTGTAATCAGGCCCGATTAGCGCTCAGGGGCGCGGGGTGCTGGTCATCAGGGGTTCCAAATCCTAAAATATAAGGGTTCCATGACAACCAAAATTCCAGTCCTAGGGCCTTTCCAAGTTTGTCTTTTAGACTCCAGAGACCTGATGAAGGATCTAGAATTATGGAAAAAATGCCCAGGGGGATTCCTGGGCTGGAGGTCCAAGGTGCTACAGCAGTACGGCACCCTCGCTAATCCGGCCCTGGTTGTAATGAATATGTAACAACTGTACCCAATGATCATGTTTAGTAATTTGTAATCGTCGCATTTTCAAAAATCAAGAAATGTGCTCAGTTCACAGAAATTTTCTCTGGTTCTTTTTTTTTTTAGTGATATCAACCCACAAAAATGAGTCTAAAGTTGCAGATTTTGAGCTTTCCTTTCAAATGCACACCACTGAGAGAGCCAAGATTGCGCCCAAAAATATCCCTTCACATGCAACCATGATCCTTTTGCTTTTTTCATGGTCTATGCAGTTGCTATCACGGCACGACAGCATGGAAATCTCTGCAGAGGCAGCGCACAATCGGTATCATGGCCACAGGGAGAAGGATATTTCTGGATTCCATCTTGTCCTCCTTGGCGGTGCACGTTTCAATTGGAATTCAAAATATGCAACTTCTAACTCGTCTTTTATTGGTTAATATCAATAAGAAAAACGCAAAAAATTTCATTAAACTTAGTGCTGGCTCTATGTCTTAGAAGTGTAACAATTACTGAACAGGCTTATTGCTGAAATGAAAAAGAACATGTCAGTGGCCAAAGTACGAAAGCATCTATCGCCATTTGGGATGTTGCAGACTTCCCCTCATTCTTTATTTTTTCTTAGGAAAGCTAATCTGTGTAATTTCTTGAAAAATCCCTTGATTTTTTTCCTTTGTCAGTAGAATATTTTGTATCAATTTCAAACTATGTAGTTTGCTTGTTTCTTTTCGAAAAAATAAAATTAGGGTAAAACTTTTGAAACATCTCCATGAAAATATGTGGTTTTGCACTTTGGTCTTTAATGTATTAGTGGGTGTGTAAGTAAGTAATGATCAAGAGAAGAAAAATAGTTAATATCAATAATCGTATCTTATTTACTGTGCCCATACAATAATTTTTCCTTTGAAATTTTTTTGTGATTCTGTAATTTAAAATCGAATCTTTGTTTTCTTGCCTTCATTGTTAGAAATGATCTTTTTTTTTCTTTCTTCAGGAATCTCGTGCCAATGATTTAGCCTTAAGAGTGAATGCATGGCATGAAATGATAGCGCCTGTTCTTAAAGAAGCGGAAAATAGAAGTAGCTTTGACATTCACGAGTATGGAAGTAGGATACTCAGCCATTTTCCTAACAATAACAGTAGAACTACGATTCCGTTTGAAAGGATAGCCGGCGGTCAACCACCAGAAGAAGTTGCTCGATATTTCCTGTCATCATTAGTTTTAGTAAGTTGTCCCATTCCCTCACCCATTTAATAATTCCCGAACTAAGTATATCAGGATAAACGAATTCAATATGTTAATTTCATGATTTTTAAATACAAAAAAACCAACTTTAATATCAGAAGAAAGTTGGGAAATTTTTGAAATGAGAATATTCTACTTTTCCTTGTTTTCTTTATTTGTTTTAACGTTGAATTACATAGGGTGTCCCAAAAGTATTGCACGTTTTTTGTTTTTTTTTTCGGGCGAACGGTAGCAGATAGCAAAATGCGGATTTTGTAGAGTTAATATTCTAGTAAATACTGATAAAACAAGACCAATCTGAGCTCTCTAAGTCAAAAAATGACTAAGTTACAGTGTTTTGAAAATGACATGTTGAACTGACCCCTCCAGGATTTTTAGCATTTTTTTTTCTGAAAAAAAACCAGGAATCAAAGATTCAAGTGGTTTTATTAAATTAATTTTACAGAATCTTACCAAGATCACCAGCATTTACTCTTCTTCATTGGACGACTGGACACTAGTTTCATTTTCAAAGTACCTTCCTTCACTTTCCACACAGGGCCGCAACCGTTCTTCCCACTTCGGCAAACATGTTTTTTCGAAATCTTCTTTCCTGAGGTTGTTCAAGAAAGTTTCAACAGCTCTTTTTATTTCGTTGATGGAGTTAAACCTCTTGCCTTTTAAGCCCTTCTTCAACATAAGGAACAACCAAAAGTCGCAGGGTGCGAGGTCCGGGCTGTAGGAAGACAGACAATCCCGTGTTTATCCATACCTTTAGTGTACTGGGCCATATGGGGGCGGGCGTTGTCGTGGTGCAGGAGCCATGTCTCCTTCATCTCTGGCCGCTTCTTGGCAATGTGCTCACGTAGTGTCATCAGCACAGAGCTGTAGTACTCCTTAGTGATTGTCTGCCCAAAAGGGACAAAATGTTGGTACACCATCCCTCGAAAATCAAAGAGTGCAATAAACTAAAAATCCTAGAGGGGTCAGTTCGACATGTCATTTTCAAAACACTGTAACTTAGTCATTTTTTGACTTAGAGACCTCGGATTGGTCTTGTTTTATCGGTATTTACTAGAACATTAACTCTACAAAATCCGCATTTTGATACCTGCTATCGTTCGCCTGACAAAAAACGTGCAGCTCTTTTGGGAAACTATGTACAAGGGAACTTGTGTACCTTCGTATTTTGTATTTTATAGTATAGTGAATTTTATTATTAAGATCCTATCTTGAAAATTTGAAGTAAAAAAGTGCTTCATTTTTCATAAAGAAACTAAACAGGGTGTCTAGCATCAGGATTTTCCCGATTCAGGATTTGAGGTCAGTCAGGATTAAATCCCGGTTTCATCAGGATTTGAGGAAAATTCGGTTGTAAAATCAGGATTTGAGAAAAGTCGGCTGTCCGCTTTTTTTCCGTTAATTATGCTATCCGTCCGTTAATTTTTCTCCACAAAAAATCAGGATCTGGAAAAATTATGGAATCAGGATTTGGAAAAATTATGAAATCAGGATTTAGTAGTCAAAATTCAGGAAAAATCAAGACTTCATCAGGATTCCTCAAAATGAAAAAAAAAAAAAAACTACACCCTGTTAAATTTAGTACTTGAGAAATAACTGGAAAATGTAGAATTTAGTTATGTAGCTCTTGTCAAGCACATTTGTATCGTTCTCAAAAGAATAAATTTTTCTTTTGTCTTAGAAAGCTTAAGCTATCACTTAGTAAGCAAGCTGTGTAGGTATTTTGGATGAAATTGAAACTCAGTCCAGTGTTCTGCCTTGCTAAGGAAGAACGCCGAATGAACATTCAAGAGTTGCCAAAATTCCCTTGATGAAACATGTATTTTTGACAACGTTCATGCATATTTTTCCTTGAAATTTTCAGATATTGTAAATTAAATTGCGTACAAAATTTTCTAAAAATTTTGGAAAATAATATTCACAATTTTCCCAGTAATTTCGGTTTTTATCGGAAGAAACTTGGCAACGTCTGAAGGCTCATACGGCGTTCTTCCTCAGCACGGCAGTGTAGTTACGAGCCCCTACCTATTTAACCATTTAAACTGTATTGATGCTAAAGAAAGGTACATTATTTTTCACAGGTTCTATCAGATGGATTTTCAACAACCTTTTTTTCATTATACTTTTTTCTAGCTTTAGATGAGAGAATTTTTAAAATTTCTTAAAATAAAAATTTTCATGAATTTTATAAGAAAAACAAAACAAAATTAGCAAATGAGGCCTTCAAATTCATTTTTAAAGAAGAAAAAATGATAATCAGGGAAAACCCTCTCGCCAAGAGTTAGAGAAAAGGTTAGGAAAGAGTTCAAAAAAATGTTTTTGAAAATCCATCAAGCAGATCTTGAGAAAAGTGTGCCTTGATGTCAATAAAGTTTAGAACAAACTGAAAGAATTTTCTATCACCCCAGGTGCCACAAAACGCCCCATAACTTATTTAATATTAATCAGATTGTGAAAGACTTGCTCTTGAATTACAGTCAAGGATTTGAAAAATTTGATCAGAAAACAACCAAAAAAAAAATATCTTGAAAAAAAAATTACTTATGGCTCCCCTTAAAAAGCCAGCGCTGCAGGGACTTTGAAAAAGGTGAATTTCTAATTTTCTACAGTCAGAAATTGAATAGATATTGAAAAATTACTAAAGTGGGTCGTAGGAAAATACCAGTTTTTAAAAAATCATAATCCTCCTCAGGTACAATGTGGCTTTTAATTTTTTGTATCTTGTTTTAATTCCAGGCAAATACGTACAATGTGGAACTTAGCAAATCCGTCAAGAAAGACCTGGCGATGAATTGTTTGGAGCTGACGATTCTCAGCAAAACGAGGCACGCCGATGAAATAGATGACAACATGCGAAGCAACAATCGCGCATCCTAGTATTCCACATAGACTGCTTGGTTTTAGATTTATGATTCGTTGTTTTTTTTTTAATTCAAAGGATAAGGTTTTATCTCGTTTTTGTGTGTAGTTAAGTGTACAGAGAGCACCTTTAAAAGGTATGCATTATGTGATCTCAGTTCTTGTAGATTCTGGTTCATCTGTTTATTTTTCTACTTGGTACTCATAGGTGTATTTAGTAGGGTTTTGCAGTCACATGGAATATTTTTTGTCTTTTTCTCTAATTGTTTTGATTATTGTGACCGCATAATCTTAGTTTCTGGCAAAAGCAGGTTGCAAAAGTTATGTAGCACACCCCACGTGATCATCTTTTCTTTAGTATTATGGCAATTAGTATTGTGAAGCCATATTATAAGCTACCCTCCGGATTATGAGACTGAACTTTTTGTTTTTCGATCTTTGGATAATACTTTGACTTATTTATCCCATGAGCTCTTTAATTAATTTTCTGATCAATTCATCGACTAACTTCTGCTGAGTCAAATAATGCTCATCCTAGAAATTGCCGCAGAAGTGATGGAAATATTACCTGTTCAAAGCTTCTTTTTCACTTCCTCTGCAAGACCTTTTGAGTTTTCTGGCCGGATTGTTTCCTAAGCAGAAACTCAACATATCTAAAATCATAACATCATTGGAGCATCTGTAGGCAATCAAGTAAACAGTTAAAACCTTATATGTATTTCTCATTGGTTAGAATATTTGCACGCAAGGACAGTAACAGCATATTCATCCATGTTTTTTATCCTATGACTACACTCAATATTTTCCTCTTTTTTTTTCACTGCTTGTCTCTGAAATTCCTTCTCTAGATCTACAATCTTTTTCTGTGCCAAAAAGAGAGATGGGGTCAAATGAAAATGAAAATGCCTGTTTGGAACCAGGGTCATCTTTGTTTTCTATCTTTCATTTTGTGACCCTAGTCTCTTATTTATAAGGTGAGAAGGTTCCTCTCAGTTTTAATGATTTGCAACCTTTGCTGAGGGCTTGCCATGGCTAGATCGGAATGCACTCCCTCACTAGGTTTTTCTGCAAGAGCGGAAGATGTGCAATTAAGGTGCCGTGTGTAAGAAGGACCTTCATTGGAATGTTTTAGAATCCCCGCTGATATGAATTTTGTTCATCTTGAACAAAGTGATTGCATGCATTTCAGGCAAATTTTGTTATGATTTCACAATGTTCTGTAGAAAAACTTCAGGTGAATTAATCATGAAATTCCTCCTCCATTCCCTCTGTATCAAAAACAGTAGTTTCATACCTTTTTTGCATCAGCATAAGGTTTCCAAACTTGGAAAGAACGTATTGCAATTGCCAAGTTTCAACACTTCCATTCCTATTTTATTTTGTGAAGAGGAAACGTACCAACTGTATTGCTGAAAATATGTACAGAAAGTTCTTCTATCACAGGAAAAAGCACAGAACTTTTCAAGACATGTCTTCAACTTGTATCCCAATTAAAAAATAATGTCTGACAAAAAGTCTGCACTTTTGTCAATTTGTCCGTTTAAAGCTCTGAATTCAAATATCTCTCAGTTTTCTCAAATTTGCCAAAAGCAAGAATCCTATCTCGTCTTAAACTTGGAGCATTTTTGCTGGAAGTCACCATAAAAGTCACTCTCTTTCTTGTTGTAAGCAGCTTCAGTTATTACTTTCAATTTATGTTTGAAAAAGTTTGAGTGAAATTTTCACTCCGGAGTTACAGGCCTAGGTACTCCTTACCGGTTCGAACTCTATTCAGAATGTTTGTATGTATTAGAGTTTGGTGCTTGTGTTTCTTCTTCTCTCTTTCCATGGCTCTTGTGTATTTCCAATCTGTACTTTTTCTAATTTTCAATGTTATTCTTCTTTACCTGTGAGCAATAATCTTTATGTTCTTAAAATCTGTTGAAACCAATACTAAATCTCTATTCCAAAATTAAATTTTTTTGTCCTATTTTACATAGTGAATTTTTATCCTTCCAACCAGTTGCAAGTGTAAAAATTTAAGAATCTAATTTTTCAATCGTCACAGTTTATAAAAAAAAGGTTGCTGTGGCAAGAAAAATTACTCTTACGTAAAAAGTAGCACTGCTCCCACAAAGATCTCTATTAAGGTCCTAAACGGCTTTTTTCTATAAATGACTCGATTTTGCAATGAGGAACAATTAAGTATATCTGGCTCACTATCAGAACACTGATCTGCATAGGGAAACCAATGGCTTATATGT